CAAAGCCCCTCGGAGCAAACCCAGACATTTGGTGACCCTGAAGGTGAGCTGGGGCGGGGCCAGGGGCGGAGACAAGGGAGGAGCAAGTTCAAGTTCAAAGTCTTTTTTTTACTCATTAGGGACTTGGGTGGTTGTGAGCAAGGAGTCAGGATCGCACTCAGGGTCCTAGGGAGGTTTAAGCCTGGGGTTCCGGGGAATGCTTAAGCCTAAATAAGTTGAGACGAGTGCTGCAAACAGTGCCTGCTGCACCCTCGGCGGGTGTCCACATCATTGTTATTATTTCCAGGGGCTCTGGGCATAGGTAGAACCAGGTGTAGAGTAACTCTGTCAACTTTCACGAGTTGTTTGACTCTGAACTTCAGTTTCCTCATCCGTCAAATGGGAGTCATAACACCCACCCCATTCCATCACTCACTGGCAGTGGGAGGTCACGGTCATCATTACCAATAAATCATACCTAGGTGATTTTACTAACATTTGTGTTAAACATAGTATTCTATCTGGAAACTGTGATGGTGAACACCGAGGCACACACTGTACCTTTCCCACTCCAGGGATTTTTAAAATATATATATATATATTTTATTATTTGAAAGACAGAATGACAGGAGAGAGAGAGGGAGATGGAGATCTTTCATCTGCTGGTTCACTCCCCAAATGCCTACAGTCGTGAAGGCTGGGCCGGGAACTCCATCCGGGTCTCCTATGTATGATGTGGGTGGCAGGAACCCAAGTACTTGAATGAGCCATCATCCGCTGCCTTGGGTGCATCAGCAAGCGGAGGGTGGACTGGAAGCAGAGTAGCTGGGACTTGAACCAGGCACGCTGATATGGGATGCAGGTGGCTTAACTTCCTGCTCCCAGCACCTGCCCCCAAACTGGTCTCTTAATTCCATTTCCCATGGGCTTTCTGGAGCACCCTTGTCCATTTCACTGTGTGTGGAGCTGAGCAGGGCACAGCCCATTCTGCCATCTCTGCCATACCTGGAGGAGTGGTAACCGTCTGTACCTATAGACCTGCACCTACCTGAGCCAGTCTTACCCATCTTCAGCGGGCAGCTGGGGCCGTCTGGGGTTCCTGCCACTCTGGCACTAACCCTGGGACGGCTTGGCATCCCAGCATCCCTGCCTTCCTGCCCTGTCTGGGCCCATCTTTCCTTTGGCTCCTGTCAACTCTCATCAAGCTTCAGCTGCCACAATTCACCTGCTCGTTTGAAGCCGATCCCACCTCAGCTTAGAGGATCCCATTACAGCTGGTGGAGCCGGGAGAAATGAGAGAGGAGATAATTTTTTAAATAGGATTTATTTATTTACTTGAGAGGCATAGTTACAGTCAAAGAAAGGGAGAGACAGAGAGAGAAGTCTTCGATCTCCCCACATGGCTACAACAGCTGGAGCCGACACAAAACCAGGAGCCAGGAGCTTCTTCTGGGTCTCCCACGTGGGTGCGGGAGCCCAAGCACTTTGGCCATCTTCTACTGCTTTCTCGGGTCATCAGCAGGGAACTGGATCGGAAGAAGAGCAGCCGGGACTCGAACCAGCGCCCATATGGGATGCTGGCACTGCAGGCTTAACCTACTACGCCACAATGTTGGCCCCGACACTAGCCCTGTTTGGAAGCCAAGGGCTCAGTGGTTAAGGAGTGCCAGCCAAGCACACACAAAGAGAAGTGGCAGCATCAGGCAGCCTGGCCCCCAGGCCCCGTGGTCTTTGTTTACAACAGCACCAGGCTGAGCACAGAAGGGTGAAATGCAGAGAAAGGTCAGGGTGGCAGGGGCGGCAAGAACTTAGCCAAGCGTGCACAGCCCTGGCAGGCTGAGGGTGGCTGCCGGCGGTGAGCACCAGCTCCTGAGACGCCACCCGCCTCTCCGCAGCCGAGCAGCTCACCGTAGTGGGGAAGATTTCCTTTGACCCCAAGGACGTGCTGGGCCGCGGGGCTGGCGGCACTTTCGTTTTCCGGTGAGTGGCAGTGCGCTGCCCCCCGGGGAGGTCATGCTTTCAAAGACTCCCCAAGGAGGTGTGGCTGGAGGGGGGGTCTCTTGCTCACCCGTTCCTACCCTCTCTGAGCCCCCTGCCCTGCCTCATCGCCCAGGGGACAGTTTGAGGGGCGGGCAGTGGCCGTCAAGCGGCTCCTCCGTGAGTGCTTCAGCCTGGTGCAGCGTGAGGTCCAGCTGCTGCAGGAGTCCGACAGGCACCCCAACGTGCTGCGCTACTTCTGCACCGAGCGGGGACCCCAGTTCCACTACATCGCCTTGGAGCTCTGCAGGGCCTCCTTGCAGGAGGTGAGCCGGGAGCTCAACAAGGGCGGGGCGGGTGGCCCAGAGGGAGGCTGCGGACTGCCCTTAGTGAGACGCTTTGCTCCTCAGTACGTGAAAAACCCAGACCTGGACCGCTGGGGCCTGGGGCCCGAGACGGTGTTACAGCAGCTGATGTCTGGCCTGGCTCACCTGCACGCCTTGCACATAGGTACCTGCCATGCGCCTGCCTCCCCCATCCCCAGCCTCTCACACTCCTCCCTCCGCGGTCAGCTCGCTTGCTCTCTCTGCTCCCGCAGTGCACCGGGACCTCAAGCCGGGCAACATCCTCATTGCCGGGCCTGACAGCCAGGGCCGAGGCCGGGTGGTGCTCTCTGATTTCGGGCTCTGCAAGAAGCTGCCTGCCGGCCGCCGTAGCTTCAGCCTCCGCTCGGGCATCCCTGGCACGGAAGGCTGGATGGCACCTGAGTTCCTAAAGCAACCCCCAGCCAGTCCTGTGAGTCTCCCCACGTGCCCCAGGCTGCAGGAACCCCTCCCTGCCCCAGATCTCCTCCTGGGGAGGCCCTTGGGGACCTGCCGTACGACAGAGTCTCCATCGGGGACTACTGTGCCACCCAGGGAGACGTCAGGCAATGTCTGGGGGGATTTTTGTTTGCCAGGACTTTGGTGCTGGTGGCATCTGGTGGGTGGAGGCCAGGGATGGTGCTGAGCACCCCGGCAGTGCCCAGGACAGCAATGATCTGGACCACACGACAACAGTGCCAAGGTCCAGAAACCTCGAGCTAAAAAACGGTTTTCAGTTCTCATTTGCTTCACCGGCCCCACACTGATTGATTGGCCTGGGGTAGGAGCCCAGCTGATTTTAATCTGGAACCGTGGCCAAGAGCCATTGGTCTCAAGGGTTCTGGGGCATCAGATGAGCTAGCACCATTGCACAGAGCCATTGGCTTCATTCAGTGGTGCAGAGGGGAGGGGCTTCAGAGCCAAGGGGCTGCCGCCAGGGAGCTTCCGTCAGTCCTAGTTGGAACCAACCTGCTGGCTGCTGTATGGGCCCCTGGGAGAGAGCTTAGCCAGGCCGCAGGCCGACGTCCCGGAAGCGGAGAGTCCTCCTTACGCTCATCTCTGGCCCCTAGACCAGCGCCGTGGACATCTTCTCGGCAGGCTGCGTCTTCTACTACGTGCTTTCTGGCGGCAGCCACCCCTTCGGGGAGAGTCTTTATCGCCAAGCCAACATCCTCGCGGGGGCTCCCTGCCTGGCTCACCTGGAGGAAGAGGCTCACGGTGAGGGAGGCCTGGGCCTGGCCCAGAGGGGAGGAGGAAGGGCGTGAGGCCCGGCAGGCCTGAAGCCATCCCTCCCCTTCCGTCCTCCAGACAAGGTCATCTCCCGGGACCTGGTGGAAGCCATGCTGAGCCCCACACCCCAGGCCCGCCCCTCCGCCTCCCAGGTGCTGGCCCACCCCTTCTTTTGGAGCCCGGCCAAGCAGCTCCAGTTCTTCCAGGTCAGAGGAAATCTTGGGAAGGGCCCCCTGGAGCCCCACGTTCTGGTCCTGAGAAGCAAGAAAGGGGGGAGGCAGATTGGCTGGGGTGGTAACAGCAGTAGCACCCTGGCAGGCAGCCTGGCTCCTGAGCCAAACCAGCAGAGAGCCTGGACTCCTGGCCGTCACCATCTTGGCCCGCCATGGTCCACTCGTTACCTGGTTGTCCCCTGGATGGGAATCCACCCCACTCCTTTCCCCCTGAATTCATCTCGTAGGCCACACCCATGCTCAGGTGGTACATTCCACCTGGGTGACCTTGAACAGAGGACTTTGTGCCTCTGAGCCTCGAGTGTGCTCATCTGCAGAATGGGAGCAGCATAGGTCCGGATAAATCACAGAGAAGCTGCCCCCCCTCCAGTGATCCTTACCATCCTGACCCAAGAAGCTTCTGCTGCTTCACTCCCCCAAGCCACACGACACTCTCTTGGCCTCTGCTAGCAGTCGCCAGGCTTAGCAGCTCTGGGGTCCTAGGACGTCAGCGACTGGCTGGAGAAGGAGCCCGAGCAGGGGCCCCTGGTGGTGGCGCTGGAGGCGGGAGGCTGCGCGGTGGTCCGGCACAACTGGCACAGGCACATTTCCGCACCGCTGCAGACAGGTAGGGCGCCCTTGGGCAGGGCTGGGCTGAGGGGCAGCCCTGTTCCCATGGGATCAGCTCTGCCTCTGGTCTTCCGGCCCATAGATCTGAGAAGGTTCCGGTCGTACAAAGGGACGTCCGTGCGAGACCTGCTCCGCGCCATGAGGAACAAGGTGTGTCCCAGGGCCTGGGGGCGGCCTGGGTCTTGGGGAGGCCAGGCCACAGCTGAGCCGGGGCTCTCTGCCCTCCCGGTCTCCAGAAGCACCACTACAGGGAGCTGCCAGCAGACGTGCAGCAGGCGCTGGGCCAAGTTCCCGACAGCTTCGTGCAGTACTTCACCCGCCGCTTCCCCCGGCTGCTCCTGCACACGCACCAGGCCATGAGGAGCTGCGCCTCCCAAAGCCTCTTCTTGCCCTATTACCCGCCGGCCTCGGAGGCCAGGGAGCCATGCCCAGGGGCTGCTGGGAGCTGACGTGGGCTGGGGGCCAGAGGCAATCTCTGTGCCATCCGGCCCAGGAGTTGGGCCTGTGGCTGTCGCTGGCCTGCAGGAAGGACCGGCAGGGGCTCGACAGCCTGGGGCTGCCACAGGGGAGCCCAGGGACTACGCACCACTCAGGGAACACAAGAGGCAACGAAGATTCACATATGTTTAATGTATATAAAGTCAAAGGACAGTCCCAAATTCAATAGAAATATTCTGTACAATTCATACGGCGGGGTTGAGAGGGAAGGGGAAGAGGCTACCGAACCCGCACCCGAACATGTACAAAAATAACTTACACAGCAACCCCACCTCCACGTTGATGTGGCTCTCGGCCCAGCCCCCAGGGCTGGGGGGCACATTACGGAAACAGCACCATGGGCGCCAACCAGTGCAGCCCCGGGTGCAGATGGGGGTGAAGGGGCACCAGTCCGGAGGGGCTGGGGGGCCTAGGAGGAGGCCTTGAGGCGGTTGCTGGCGGAGCGTGAGCTCAGCAGCTTGTCCACCATGGTGCGGGCGTAGCGCAGACGGCTGGCCAGCTCCTTGCAGCAGCCGTACTCCTCCAGGAGGCTCAGGCGGTACGTGCGGAAGTCCCGCTTCTCATCGATGTAGGTCACAGCAGCCATCAGGGGGCACAGGATGAGCTTGGTGTGATCCTGGAAGGAATTGTAGACCCAGCGCTGCTTACGGCGTGTGGGGGGATCAGACACCCCGACTGGCAGGGGAGGAGGAAGCCCCCTCACTTGAAACCCGTCGTACAGGCGCCCGGGCTGCCTACTCCCGACCCGGTCACGGGGGTCGCTGGCAGGCTCACCTGGAAGAAGTTGATCTGCACGGTGCCATTGCTGAGGTGCAGGATGATGGCGCTGCGGGTGCGGAACCAGGTCCGCAGGTAGGGCAGCCGGGCCAGCTCGTCGCCTTCCCGCGGCGTGATGTTGGCGCCTGCCTTCAGCAAGTGCTCGCTCATGTAATTGCGGAAGTACTTCAGGAGGGTGATCTGGTTGGAGAGCAGCGGGGGTTGGAGAGCCTGGCCTCTGGCACCATCCCCGACAGCAGCCAGCCCGGGGGCCAGCCAACACTCACCTTCTTCATCAGGGAGTTGGGGTGGGAACTCACGGTGAGGTAGGACTCGGTGCCGTCTCGCTCTATGTACTGCAGGCTGTCGCCGTCGTTGTAGAGGATCAGGCGGGTGGAGTCGTTGAAGAGCACCCCCACGCTGTTGTCACACAGCTGGTAGCCTGGCAGTGGGCGGAGGGAGGCTCAGAAACGGGGGGCGGGAAGCCAGGGGTGGAACAGGACAGTGCTGAGAGAAGACCCGCGAGCCCAGAGAGGCCAGCGCCTGTGACGACTGAGCAGCCCTGCCTCCGGAGACACCTACCGAGGCCATACTTGTCCGAGTAGTCCACCCACTTGCTGACCCAGAAGATGGGGATGCAGGCGGGATCCTCGGCCTCCTCTGGGACAGAAAGAGACAGAAGTCAGGACTGGGCTCTTCCCTCTGGGTCGACTCACATAGCCCTCGCCAGAGAAGCTTGTCGGGCACCGCACCCGGGCTCAGCCATCTGAGCACCAAGTCACAGAACGGGGCCCAGGGGTCATTCACCCCTTCATTCAGTTGGCCCAGTGATCCAGGGCCTACAGAGAGCCAGGCCCTGTGGGTGGTACAGGGAGAGGAAAACCCAGCCTTCACAGAACTTACATTTTAGTTGTAGGGACAAACGCTAATCTGCTAATTCTGTGTGGACCAGATTTGTAAGCTATTTCTATCATGGTAAGTCAGTGGCTGATGAGTTATCTGGTTTTCCAGTGCGCAGCGATTAAGAAACAGTGACCAGAAAGACAATTCCAAATATACTAAAATTCTATGTTCAGTGCCTGCACCAAATTCCTTACATTAAATAAAGGACGTGTTGGTGTTTGTTGGGTGAGAAGTGTTGTGAGGAACCATAAGGCAGGCAGGGGGTTGCCCTGTGCCAGCAGCAGCTGCTGGGAGATGCTTATGGAGGGGACATCAGAGCAGATGTGTGACGGAGGTGACAGAGTGAGCCACGCAGGTGTCTAGGGCGAGTGTGCTCCAGGGGCAGGGAGTGGTCCAAGCAAAAGCCCTGCGCCTGCAGCACATCTGTAGCTGTTGTGTCAACTGTCTTGAGCGATCGACAGGGACTCACAGAGCACAACACAGTGCGTGTGGCTGTACGAAGGTGCACCTCAAGGTGCTGGAAGATGGAGCATCTGTCGCATAAGACGTGGCTCAGAAGTGAAGGCAGGAGCCACACCATGGCGGGCCCTGCACGTCAGGCAAACTCATTTGGGTTTTGAGCTACAGGACGTGGAGGGAAAAAAAAGTACCATGGAGACAGGGGCCAGGATGAGTCAGCACTGTCCCTGCCCTCCCCAGATGCCCTGGGCACACGTCCTCGGCGCACGCGCGGTCCCCACCTTGCCGCACCAGCCCGCGCTCGGAGGGCTTGGAGGCGTTCACACTGTGCAGCTGCTGCAGCATGTCACTGAGGTGGCACTCCACCGCCTCATTCGTCTCCCGGACCACAGGTTCCTCTTTCTCCCGGGGACGTTCCGGCAAGGGGTTCTCCAAGCCTAGGAAGGCAACAGTCAACAGTCAGGCACAAAAACGGGGGCTGACAGGGCTCCGGGCTTCTTGTTGCAGCTGGCTTCCTTCCCCAAGGGAAAAAAATCTTTTGGCTACCATTGTTTTGGGGAAACTGAGTCAGAGCCGGGTTATTAGAGTAACAGCTGCCGTACTCGTGCGAAGGTATGTGGTGCCCTCTGGGAGGTCACAGGGCTCAAGACTCCCAGGGCACGGCCCTGTCCAGACACCACCCATCACTCAGAGAAACAACTCAGAGTGTTTCTTCACCTTGAAGCAAACCATCGCAAGCGTCTTCAGGTCAGGCATTGGATGCAGCCACTAAGGTACGACTTGGGACGCCCACATCCCGTATCAGAGTGCCTGGGTCCAGGTCCCAGCTCTGTTCCCGATTCCAGCTTCCTCCTAATGCACACGCTGCTAATGCAAGTACTTGGGGCCCTACCTCTTAGATGGAAGACCTGGATTGAATTCAAGGCTCCCAGCTTTGGCCTGGACCAACTCCAGCTCTTGTCAGCATTTGGGGGGAAAGATCTTTGTTTTCTGTCTCTCTTTCTTAAATAAATAAATGAAAAATAAAGAGACAGACCTTCCTGGGGTTCACCCCCCAAGTGGCTTTTTTTTTTTTTTGACAGGCAGAGTTAGACACAGAGAGAGACAGAGAGAAAGGTCTTCTTTCTGTTGGTTCACCCTCCAAATGGCTGCTACGGCTGGCGCGCTACACTGATCCAAAGCCAGGAGCCAGGTGCTTCCTCCTGGTCTCCCATGCGGGTGCAGGGCCCAAGCACTTGGACCATCCTCCACTGCCTTCCCGGGCCACAGCAAAGAGCTGGACAGGAAGAGGAGCAACCAGGACAGAATCTAGCACCCCGACCGGGACTAGAACCCGGGGTACTGGCGCCGCAGGCGGAGGATTAGCCTACTGAGCCACGGCGCCGGCCTCCCCAAGTGGTTATTACAGCCAGGTCTGGGCCAGGCTAAAGCCAGAAGCCAGGAACTCCATCTTGGTCTCCCCCCCACATCAGTGGCAGGGACCTAAGTACTTGGACCATCTTCTGCTGCCTGCCCAAGTGCATTAACAAAAAGTTGGATCAGAAGCTGAATATCCAGGACTCACACAGGAGGTCTGATATGGGCTCTACAAGCATCACCCTAACCCACAGCAGCACCACACCCACCCTGCCCCCAACTTTCAAATAACTAAAAATAAATATCCATATAAACATACAAGTATTTTTAGCATCCCAGAAGTTGGGGGGTCAGGAGGATGAGTAATTACAACCCCTCAGTGGAATGGATTCAGTTGCTTTTCAGTGAAAATGGGAACTTTTTCCACCCCCAGAATCTGTTTATGTACTTCTATATAAGTCAAAGGAGTTGGTTTTATTTGGGTGGTAGTAAGCATGGATATTACTATCTTTATACTTAAATGTTTAATTCTTTTCCCCACCAACATGTCTAATTCTCCTGAAATATTTCCTAAAAGAAGTTTTCAATTAAGAAAAAAACTATGCTGTGACAGGTATGCAAGCATGAAATAGTAACATATTAGGGATTTGCTTTAAAAACTAGGAAAAAAGGGGAGGAGGAGGAAGGTATGGAACAGATCAAAATCTAGTAGCTGTGCTGGTAACTACTGACAACGGATGACGAACACGTGGGGAGTCACGGCACACTTCTCTCTGCCTTTGGGTAATGTTGAAAACATCCATGAAGTTTTTTGTTTTTAAAAAAAGCTGTAAGTTCAAAATTAAACTGAAAAGTAATCCTTAAAAAACCCCAGTATTATATTAATATAGCCCAAAGAACAAAATAAACAATCCTTGAGTTCATTACTGACATAAATAAGCAAACAAGGAGAGGGCCAGCTCTTCCTTAGAGGGCCAACTAGTGAAACGCAGGAGCAGGGAAAAGAAAGAGCACGAGAACACAGTGAGCACTGCTGCAGGCAGGCCCCCCCCGTGGGCGCTAAACTCGGCACGGGACACTGAGCCTAGCAGTCAGACATCGGTTAGGACACCTGCGTGTCACCTGACTCACCACTTCCTGCTAATGCAGACCCTCCGAGGTACTGGTGATGGCTCAAGTAACTGGGTCCCTGCCACCGACACTGGAGGCCTGGACCGAGCTCCTGGCTCCTGGCCTTAGCTCAGAGCCAGCTGTTGCAGGCATTTGGGCAACAAACCAGTGGATGAGAGCTTTCTCTCTCATCAGATGCCACGGTAACCAAGTGATCACAGTTAATAAATACCACCACTAACAAGAGAAAAAAAAATCAATGTGTACCCCTGATAGACTACATGGAGCCGGCGCCGCGGCTCACTAGGCTAATCCTCCACCTGTGGCACCGGCACCCCAGGTTCTAGTCCCGGCTGGGGTGCTGGATTCTGTCCTGGTTGCTCCTCTTCCTGTCCAGCTCTCTGCTGTGGCCCGGGAGTGCAGTGGAGGATGGCCCAGGTCCTTGGGCCCTGCACCCGCATGGGAGACCAGGAGGAAGCACCTGGCTCCTGGCTTTGGATCAGCGCAGCGCACCGGCCGTAGTGGCCATTTGAGGGGTGAACCAACAGAAGGAAGACCTTTCTCTTTAACTCTGCCTGTCCCAAAAAAAAAAAAAACAAACAAAAAAAAAACACAAAACAAACCAGAGTCCATGGAGAAGGGCGCGTCACTTCTGCTGCATCTCCCCCAAAGTCTAGAACCTCAGTGTGAGCGCGAGGAACTCCAAATCCACAGAAAGAGCGGGAAGTGGAAAACCTGATGAGGGCCCAGGACAGCCTGGAGTGTGAAACTACCGGGGCCGACACTGTGGGGGAGCGGTGAAGCTGCCGCCTGCTCCACCTCCTATCCAGCTCTCTGCTACGGCCTGGGAAGGCTGTGGAAGATGGCCTGAGCCCTTGGGCCCCTGCACCCATGTGGGAGACCCGGGAAGGGGGGAGCTCCTGGCTTTACATCGGTATAGCTCCGGCCATTGTGGCCAACTGGGGAGTGAAGCAGCAGATTTAAGACCTCTCTCTCTCTCTCTCTCTCTCTCTCTCTCTGCATAACTCTAACTTTCAAGTAAAATAAATAAATCTTAAAAAAAAAAAAAAATTACAAAGTGAAAAGTAGAATTCAAAAAAGAAAAAGAAAAGATACTGCCCTGTGTTTTAGTCCTTCTCTGTGGTTACACAACACGCTGATGCGCGGGAAGCCAAGGGAAGGGTATATGGGAACTCTCTCTGCAATTGCTATTATCTTTTAGAATTTCTGTATAAGCCTAAAGTTATTCTACAATAAAATTCTAGAAAGTAATCCCTAAATATTGAAAACTAACAAACAAATGAACTTAAGTTGTCTATCAAACTGAGATACACCTAGAGAAAGTATTTCAAGCTACTTAAAAAAAAAAAAATATCTTTGGAGCCAGCACTGTGGCGTAGCGGGTTAAGCTGCCGCCTGCAGTGCTGACATCCCATATGGGCGCCAGTTCTAGTCCCGGCTGCTCCACTTCCGATCCAGCTCCCTGCTATTGCACCTGGGAAAGCAGTGGAAGATGGCCTAAGTCCTCAGGCGCCAGCACCCACGTGGGAGACTCAGATGAACCTCCTGGCTCCTGGCTTCAGCCTGGCCCAACCCTGGCCATGGCGGCCATCTGGGGAGTGAATAAGCTGATGGAAGATCTCTCTCTCCCCCTGCCTCTCCTCCTGTAACTCTTTCAAATAAAATAAATAAGTATATTTTAAAAAGAAGATTGCTCTAAAACTATATTGTATCCATGTTAAATTTCTTGAGCTTGATAACTGTTATGCACTGTGGTTATATAAAATAATCTTTGTTTTTAGGAAATACACACTGAAGTATTAAGGGTAAGAATGGAATACTTACATACACAACTTACTTTTAAACAATTCTGTGTGCATGCAATGCAAATGAATGATGTCTTCAAAAAGTTAATGGAAAAACTACAGGTTCAACTTCGCACCAAAATAAACTTTTAATTCCATTTTTTTCCTATTAACTTTTTGAAGTACCCTCATGTGCAGTATACGTGGGAGGTAGAGGAAGAAGATAAAAGTAAATGTAAAAAAAAAAATGGCAACTGGTGGATCTAGGGAACAGGGTAGACGGAAGAGGAGCTTCCTGTTTGTTCTTCCACCTTTTTTTAACCTTGAAATAATAGCAAAATAAAATGCTACGAAAAAGGGAATCGCAAACATTATCATACACCCAGATGTCCCCCTTTAAAGTAAGTATTTCCTGACTCTGTCCTATAGAAGAGACCCAGAGGAAATGACAACCTAGGTAATGGCACGTGACGTTAGATTTTCCTAAGAAAATCAAAGACGCTTACTGAAGTTATAGGTACAATGGCAAGATGTCTGAGGTTAACTTTAAGAATATATCAGAGAAACAGGGACGGCTCCGCAGGGCAGGTGTGACTGCTCAGATGGTGGGGACCTGGAGGCTCCCACAGCCTGCTCAGGGTGTGTATTTGAAACTGTTCCTGTCTCCTTCAATGAAGCATGAAGACGTGATATTAGGGGCCTCGGTTCTCTCTGGGGTTCTGTATCTGACCCTCCCCTTGCTTTACCTTTATTAAGGACGGTGAGAGGCTTCCGGCTGCTGGGGTCCAGGCTGCTGGGAGCGATTGAGAACCTGGGTGGAATGGTGAGGCAGGTGATGGGCAGCCGGGCAGGGATGTAGCCGGAAGTGAAGAACTCGTCACTGAGCAGCTCGTTAATGGTCGGGCGGGCAGAGGGGTCTGTCTGCAGCATCTTCTGGATGAGGGACGCAGCCACAGGGTTGATGTGCTGGAGCAGAGACAGAGAAAGCCCTGAGCCGGGCGTGGCCGTGGACTGGGACAGCAGTGCTGTCATAGCGGGACCACAGCCCACAGGGCAGCTCCGGGTCTCAAGTAAGCCATGGTTCCACAACTAAGAACATCGCCAAGCTCCCCCTTATCGACCTCACGGAGCTGACGAGTGAGAAGGATCACGTTTCTTCCCTCTTGGAACTCCAGATTAAGCTGTTTTCCCCCAGACTTGCCCTTGCACACCTAAAGTTGCTCGTCTCCACTGCAGCGCCTTGAGGACACAGGCTTTGAGGTCTTGCACCTGTTTAAACACCGTTTTGCCCTCATCTCAGCTACGACAAGCAACCTGCGCTTTGTAGGGCCTTTGGGGCCGCATCTGTAAAAGGACGGTGAGCACCAAGCTTGGGGCCCTGCTCAGAAGCCTCGATGGGCTTGTCCTCGCACAGGCTGGGGCAGCCACAGCCTGGCACTGGCTCTGCACGCACTATGCGCCGGGGCAGTGTTCTCAGCGCTTGCTGTTCACTAACTCTCGTGGACCTCACACACACCGCACCTAAGGGCAGGGATGTCTGTCTGCCTTCCTCTACAGAGGGGGCTGAGGCACGGAGAGGGTGGGGGCCTTGCCTAAGGATACCCATCTAGCTCGGGAGTGACAGGAGCCAGCACCAACCCCACGTCTGACCGCAGTCTGACCCTCTGAGGCCGTCACTCCTCTGTCCTCCCACAGTCAGAGCACTTGGCTTCACATATGCCAAGAGCCGCAAACTGGAAACCGGCCGTGTACCAGGCCTCTGCAGAAGCAGGCCGTTCTGTAAAAACGCATTGGTGCCAGTGGTTGGGAGAAGCTCACGGAGTCTCTGAGTACCTGGTGTGTGCCAGCCACTACAGAAGCAGGTGGAAAACTACGGTTCAGAAGATTCAGGCAACCTGCCCAACGTGATCGAATGAAGACAATCCATTTCCTACACTGTCAGCACTTCTGCCCCCCACTTCTTCCCTCTCTTCTCCTCGGCTCCTCCTTACACATCTTTTGGGTTATTCACTCAACCTTCAAGAATCTACAAATGCTCCCCTCTAGCAAAAAAAAAATATAATGTTTCAGATTCTGTATGCAATTTCAGACCATTTAAAGTTATGGGGTTCACCTCTCTAAGTTCTCAGGACCCAGCGGGGCTCAGTAAATAGCTTTTGGGGAAAAATACAGTTAAAGTATCATTAGTCACCTTAGGAATGCTGTATTCATTCTTCTTAATCCGGAGGTAGGTCTCTTTTAGGCAAGAAGTCTCAAAAGGTGGTTTGCCCACTAACAAGGTATACCTGTAAGCACAAGGTGGGATTTGGCTCAAGCCTCCCAAGTAAAACCCACATGTATGAGGAATCGCCATAGGTGCAGAAGAAGGGGCACGCATCCCCTGGACACTCACGGACTCAGGTCCCTCAAGACAATCCCCAAGTCTGCGTAGCAGCCCCAGAGCCAAGACACAGGCTGGGATGAGCTTTTGGGGGAGACCCGAGTCCTATGGGGCAGTGATTATTTCCAGCTACAGCCTACAGCCATCTGGGCCTCAGAGGCTGCCAGCCACCCAGAACAGCTCACAGTGGGTGCACTTCCTGTTCCTGCCGAAGCAGCACCGTGTTCAGTAGTCCTGTATGGAAGCTTGAAGATTTCCCGTGAAAAGGTGAAATCCACTGCTATAATTCATGTGTAACTCCAGGATCCGGGTCGGCAACAAGAAAGCTAACACCCCAAAAGGTCCAAGCCTCTGCCCACCACCAACCCGCTCTGGGGGTCTTGATCCAGGCGGATCACAAGTACCTGCTCCTGCCGCACTCCTGGCCTAAAACCTCCCCGCCACGCCGTTCCGTGTTTCTGTGCTATGCTGTGCACAGGAACCTCGCAAAGGTCTGCTTAAATCCAGGTTCCGTTCCAGGCAGCAGTCTGGGTTCTGAGATTCTGCACTTCCAACAAGTTCCCAGGTGATGCCGCTGCTGGCCTGGCGATCACACTTCAGGCAGCACCGGGCTACAGCAAGGTCATGGAGACCTTCCTGGGGGGCCCACAGCCCAGGCCACAGAAATCCTACGCAATACAGAGTGACAACGACATGGCCTTGTCTGGGGGCAAGCTATCCTGCTAAGCAGCCTTTCTCTCAGGCAGGGGGACCCCACAGGTCCTGAGACAACTCCCCACTTACATGATGCAGCCGATGGACCACACGTCCACCTCGAAACTGTGCCCTTTCTTGCTCAGCACCTCGGGAGCTATGTAGTTGGGAGTCCCACACAGGGTCTTCTTCCGTTCTCCGTCATATTCAACTTTGGTTGCCAGCCCAAAATCCCCTGGGACAGAGGGAAGAAGGCCATATTCAGATGCCCTTCTCTGCGGTCTGTCCAGGCAGACAGCTGGGTCAGGTCTGATCATCCAGAACTATGTCCATTTGATCCCACAAGTCCCTGCTCCCCTATACATCAAGGCTTGCCAGGAATTGTCCCACCATGATGTTCCCACGGAGGGGCCTCCCAGGAACCCTTCCTGCCCTTTCCCTTAGAAGGAAGGCTAATCTTCTGAAAGTGAATCGACAGGGAGAGCAAAACTCAAATGACCCCTGAGGTCAAGCACATAGCCTCCAAGAATGCTACTTGCCAAGTGTGTGGAGAAGTAATAGGGCGTGGTGGAGACTGTGGCAAACCAGAGGGAGTCTAAATGGGGCAGCCCCTTCTCTGCCCAGCCAAGGGTCACCTGAGGGTATTGCTGGAGCTTCTGACTGCTTACAAAGAGCCCCAAGCCCCAACTTTTATGTAGGGTCTCCCAAAATAAAAGCTCAAATTCTTTTTTTTCTTCTTTAATGCTGTGTTGGGATACAAAACTAATGCATTGCAGGTATGGGAATAGCCTGTGGCACCTTAACTAAGGAGAGTTCTGGAGGGACCACTCCCCCGTCCTCCCCCCCACCTCCTGGGGTGGTAAAGCGCCCTGCAGGCCCAGGGCCTCACCTATTTTCACCTCCAGGTCCTCATTCAGGAAGAGGTTCCCCAGTTTGAGGTCCCGGTGGATGACCCGGTTTCGGTGCAGGTACTGGCAGCCAAGGACGATCTGCCGCAGGTAGTAGCGGGCCTCGGGCTCCGTCAGCGCTTTCCTCCTCTTGTGCAGCTCCAGGAGAGACTGGGAGGGGGAGCCATGGGGGAGTGGGTGGCATTGAGGTCCCCGGGAAGCAGAAAGCCTGCTTTAGGTAAAGGCTGCCAGAGGCCCTAGGCCTGGACCCCGGGGGCATGAGAGGGATCTCGGCAGATTTCTCTCCCTCCCCAAATCCTCTCTCCGGGACAACTGCCCCCTGCCCTGGGACTCCTCTCGGAGCTCCCAGCCTTCCCTCCCCAGGCCGCCTCTCCCGACCGCTCTCCTCCCGGAAGCTCCAGAGCCTGGCTCCAACCTCCCCCTCCCCGAGCAGCCCCACTCCGGAAGCTCCCGCTCCAAGGCACCACCAACCCGGGACTCCCCCCTTTTGCAACCTCAGGGCCCTAGCGTCCATTACCCGCCCACCTCCCTCCTCACACACTCCAAACACCTGGCGTCCGGGAGCTGCTTTCCCCAGCAGCGACCTGCCCCAGGCTCCATTTAACCGGAACTCCCTTCCCCAGCAATCCCACGTCCCGTGCGCCCGCCCCTTTGCCTGCAGCTCCAGAGCTGGGCCCCCCAAGCCCAGGCCCCCCAGCAGCTCCAGCGCCTTGGCGATGCACTCACCCTGCGGCGGCAGAGCTCCAACACCACGAACACGAAGTCGCTGTCCTCGAAAAAGCCGTGGAAGCCGACGACGTGCTGGTGGGCCAGGCTGCGGTGAATGGAGATCTCCATGGACATTTTCTCCTTCTGGTGCGGCTTGAGCAGCAGAGACTTGGGCACGATCTTGCCGGCGAACACCTCCTTGGTGTCCGCATCGGAGATCTCGAAGCATTTGGCGAAGCCGCCCTTGCCCAGAAAGCGGCCCCGCACATAGCGCCGCCGGCTGCGTGGGTCCACCAGGACCTCGGGGATCTCTTTGGCCGGCGGAGCAGCTGCCGGTGCTCCGGGAGCTGCCACTCCGGGGCCGCCAGCCTTCCCTGGGTCGGCCGGCGCCCGCGCCAGCTTTGCTGCACTCAGCGCTGCACTCATGCTCCCGGGGCTGCTCGGCGGACCTGGCAGGGTCGGGGCAGAGGCTCTGCACCGCACTGCTCCTCCCCGAATTCAAACGCGGCGCTGGGAACGTTACAACAGCCTGCGCGCCACTGATTGGCCGCGGGGATTTAAAATCCAAACCCGCCCGCCGCGCGGGACCATGGGAGCGCTCCGCACCGCCCGCCCGTCAGCCCGGACCCGGGCAGGAAAACACTTGATTGACAGCAAGGCGCCGACGGTAGACACGTGGGCTCTCCTGGGAAAGCGTCCCCGGCCTGGGGAGGCCGAGCCCCAGCCCCGGGTAGAGGGGAATTCGTTCAGGGCTTCTCCCTTACTGGGGAGCCGGGCCGCTCCTGCGGTTCACACGCTCCCTCGGGCAAGTTTTTCCCAAGAGTAGAGACCCCGCAGCGCCTAGAGGCAGTTTAAGAGAGCCACAGCTGACCTGCAGGGCAGCCGCCTGCCTGCCCCGGGCCCTCGGGCGAGCCACCCCGAATAAACTGGAATCTAAGTGAAAGCAGGCACCTTCACGGGACGCCTCTGGTCCCCTCCAGGGCTCTGCATTACACAGCAACGCCGCTCAAAGCACCGTCCAGGAGCCAGCAGCATCACCATCACCTGGAGCTTCAGGCCTGCTCCAGCTCTCCCAGGTCAGAATCTGCCCAGGTGATTCCTACACACACTGGAGCCCGCTACGGGACGCGGGAAAGCTGCCTGGCTCGCCTTCCCAAGTGCCTAAAATAGAGGACGCGGGAGAGGGAGGCTGGCTGGGAGAATGCCTAGAGACGGGCAGGTCACAGCCACAGCTGAGCTGCAGGCTGTTTGGTGTGGTTTTCCACTTTGAAAATTTGAATTCATTCACAGCAAAGAGAGCTCAAGCTGGGCTTGGGGACACTTGCATTCCCTGTCAAAGTGCCTGGCTTCAAGTCCCACCTCTGCTTCAGTCCAGCTTCCCGCTAATGCACACCCTGGGAGGCCACAGGTCACCGCTCAGCTACTTGAGTCCCTGGCTTCTGGCTCTGGCTTGGCCTAGCTCTGGCTGTTGTGGACATGCGGGGAGTGAACAGAGGATAGAGAATCTCTCTTTCTCTCTCTCTGCCTTTCAAATTAGGCAAAATAAATACAGTTACAAAAAAAAATAAATAAAGGTGGCTCACACAAAAATTCAGATTTGTGGCTTTTTCTGAAATAATCCGAGGTGCCAACCACTCTGGACTGACCAACCCTCCCAGTCTGCCACAGCACCCAGCTCCCGCCTGCGCCCATTCCGAAGGCCCTTGACTGACAACCCTGGGACAGCAGAACACGAAGGTGGACGGTCTCTGAGTAGCGACAATCAGAGCACAAGCTCCTCCTGACCAGGCCCCCACTTAGGCTGGTGCAACGAAGACAGCACCTCATGCCAACTGGCAGTGCAGCATGCGTGGCTGGTGCGGGTATTACCGAAATGGTTGCTGAGTAAAAGCAAGGGTTTTTGCTTTTAATCATCATTTTTTTAAAAATCCCCATCAAGTGTACTCTATTTTAGCTTTTCACTAATATTTGGAAGACTCCACAGGACAATTTTCACATCCTAGCGGCACATTTTCACAAACTGTAAACATGCCCCATGTAAACAACACTCAGACTGAGAACGAGAACCCCACCAACACCCAAGAAGCCCTCCTTGTGCCCTAACCACCCCTCAGTTAGATGATTCACTAGGACAGTCGCAGGACGGAGCACACACTTGAACTCACAGCTGTGAGTTAGTTCAGCGAAAGGCTAGGAATAAAAGCAGCAAAGGAAAAAGACACACGGAGCGAAGTCCAGAGGAACCCAGGTGTGAGTTTCCCAGTCATTTCCCAGCGTAGTCACAAAGGACACCCTGACTTCTTCCAGCAATGAGTTGGGACTACCTACAATTTTCACTGGGTGCTGGTCATGATGTTGGCCTCTGCCTAACACCTATCAGAACTCCAGACTCTCAGGAGAAGCAGGTGTACGGCACGCAGGAGCGGTGAGAACCTACCTGAAATCTAAGCTCCCAGACAGCAGCCCAGGGTCAACCTTGCAAACAGACCTTCGGAAGGGGAGCCAGCCGCAGCCTGCTCCGTTAATGCTTATCACCTCTCTATTAACTTCTGCACCACTCACCCTCTGGGCTGAGGCTTCTTCACAGAAAAATTACCAGTAAGACTGCGTGTGAAGAGGCAAGACCGTCCTGCACTGTGGTTTCAGTCACGCCTGCTACGGGTCTGAAGTTTAGCCGGTTCCCATCACTCCCATAACTGCAGAAGTCCATCTCAGAAAGCCAGGTGGCCTCCGCCTTGGGTGATGTAAACCATGCTAACTGACCTGAGGCGTCAGTTCAGGCACGGCAGGACTCTGGCCAGCAGGTTGAAGCCCTTCCAGGGCTGGTGCAGGGTCAGGGCAGTCAGGGTCACATAGACAAGTACAACCCCAGAGGCCCAGGTGGCACCCCTGGATACAACGCCTTTACAAAATGAGGGCAGGACATAAATCAGGCACAACAGGTTAACAAGGGGCCCCCCTGTGGACTCCTACCATGTTTTCAGGCCCATCAGAAAAGTTCCCAGAGTCCTTGGTTTCTGAGGAACTTCCTGAAGGCAGTGAGTCCCAGTTTTGCCTGTTCACGACACAAGTTTATCCTACTCGTCAGTGTGGATGGCAAGCGAAGGTGTTTGGTATACAAAGTGCTGGAGCCCTCCCCTCCCCCACTGTCCGCCGTCTGAACCCCAAGCACTCCAACAGGTGGAAAGGCAGCGCGGGGAACTTACCCTTCAGGAAGAGGGGAAGGTTTTCAGGAATAGTTCTCAAGAACAAGTATCAGGCCTCCTCAGGTGCCAGGTTTTTATTTCTCCAATGTTACAAAATTAGTCCTCTTCAACAATCCTAACTTTACATTCTTTCAATCATTTTTTAGGCCTTTTGTATGGAAGAGTTGTATACAGGAGGTACAAAGACAGCTTTGCAGATACAGATCTGTACACAACGTAATAGAAAGACACAGTCAGGAGCTTGTAAGGATGCTATGGGGTGTATCCCCCAAAATCCACTTGTTGAAGCCCTAATCACTGGTACTTCAGAATGCGACTGTGTTTGGAGATAGGCTTTTAGAGCGGAGATGAAGTTGAAATGGGGTTGTTAGGGTGGGCACTAATCCAATAGGACTGGTGGCCTTATAGAAAGGGGTGATAAGACGCAGAGACACACACACAGAGGGACTCTGGGAGGACACAGCAGGAAGGCAGCCATCTGTGAGCCGGGGAGAGAGGCTTCAGGAAAAATCAAACCTGTTGTCACCTTGCTCTTGGACCCCCAGCCTCCAGAATAGTAAGAAAATAAATTCCTATTGTTTACGCCACTCAGTTTCTGGTATTTCATTACGGTAACCCTAGCAGACTAGTAGAGGATAAAATTCTAAATTTTCAGAAATTTACAAATTAGTGTATATCACTGTCCTCTGTTTTTGTCCTGTCTACCCAATGTACAGGCTGGAAAAGACCAAGCCCTTTCTGGGGACAGTAACATTTTATCAACCTACCTCATTTGGCTGTGTGTACTCGAGAAAAGTGAAGGGAAGCAGAGTTAGACTATCAGGTAATGTCGTGAGCTGCAACTAATCCCGAAAGCTGAGCCTGAGCCAACAAACAGCAGCACTGTCGAAGCAGGCACAAAGGTGACAGTCTCAGTGACGTGCCTTTCCCAGCTGGTGACTTTCAGCACAGATCTGACTTCAGGAATGCAATCAGCCTCTGCAGCAGAGACAGCAGCTGATCAGCAGTTTGATTGTAGGCGTTCCTGTCAGAGAAGCCCCTTCCTGTGGGCACTTGTGTGCCAAGCAGATGGTTCAGCCAGCATCCAGATGTCTTCAGATTCAGGGCCCCATGGAGGGGGCCCTAAATCACCAGTGGTCCCAGGGTCTGAGTCCTGTTCATTGAGCTGGCGCCTGCTTTCAGCTCAGCATAGCTCATTTGTGGCTCAAACAGCTGACAATATGGGGCCAGTGCTGTGGCATAGCGGGTAAAGCCGCCGCCTGCAGTGCCAGCATCCCATACAGGCACTGGTTTGAGACCGGCTGCTCCACTTCTGATCCAGCTCTCTGCTGTGGCCTGGGAAAGTAGTGGAAGATGGCCCAAGTCCTTGGGCCCCTGCACCCACGTGGGAGACCTGGAAGAAGCTCCTGGCTCCTGATCGGCGCTGCTCTGGCCGTTGTGGCCATCTGGGGAATGAACCAGAGGATGGAGGACCTCTCTCTCTCTCTGCTTCTCCTTCTCTCTCTGTGTAACTCTGACTTTCAAATAAATAAATAAAATCTTTAAAAAAGAAAAAAAAAAAAACAGCTGACAAAAGACACTGGCGAGTTTTAGCTTCGAGTGCAGGCCAGGCCATCAGGAGCGGTGGGGCAGGGGCTCCACACAGCCAGCTGCTTCCCTTTGGCGGCAGCAGCAGCAAAGGCCTGTCGCAGTGCCAGGCAGCTGTGGTCCACGTCCAGTGACAAGCAGGGCATCTTGTTTCAAGTCTGATCAAACCCACTCAAACATGCACATCAGACTAAAAACTTGTCAGCCTCAAAGGTCACACATATGATTTCAATAGGAGCACAATAGCAAATTAACTGCTTTTTCAAATTCCAAATGTGTAGGTCTATCCAGATAGTGCCTCTTTTCACATAGTCTCTGTCTTTCTAGCCTAGATGCTTAAATGGACACAAATCATAACAAAAAATATCAATTACGGGTACTTATCTGGGTTCCAATACTCAAAGAATTTAATTTAAATTCTAACCTATCCATGGTGGCAAAAAGCAAGTACAACTTTTAAATTTGATTTAATACATTTATGGCTCATTTTGATTAGGACCACTGTTCTAGTCCTTAGACAATTATAAGTATATTTTAAATCAATTTTATCGTATATCCAGAGGCAATAAGCCACAAAATACAGTCATTTTTTTTTTACAAAGTCCCTTTTTTCTTGTTGCTAATTTACTCAACTCCTTAACAAGACCGCCATCATTTACTGGGCTCACATTTCATGCCTGCAATGTTGACTTTCTGCCAAGCTCTCTCCCGCAACAACTCCCTAAGGCTGGCAAATCACAGGATTTTTAAAGCAATGGAATGGTGTGTCTAAAGGCCTGCTGAGCTTCCACTGCATGTATGTTTTATTCCATTTAGAAACATTTACCCAACAATGAAGCACTGAAGAAAATGACCCTAATTCCTCCATGCCCTTCACTAGCTGTGTTTGTTCACAGTCTCCCTTATCCTCGTCAGCCCGAAGTGTCAGGGTCGGGGGCTGCAGTCAGGCACACTGGCACACTCTCTCTGCACGGCATCAGTAACAGTAACATAGCAGTTCATCCTTAGGCCCACTTGTGCGTGCCAGGCTCAGGGCTAACAGCTATGCAGATATGATCTCATCCATTTCAGCCTCACCATGGCCCAAGCACAGAAGGACCGCTATCCCCATTCTGTAGATGGGCAAACAGGCACTTCTGGATTAGGTTTCTTGCCCGGGGCTATGTGCCCAGGAGGTGGTACAGCTGCAGTTTCAACCCAACTCAGCTGCCCCCCAAGCATGACCACCTGGATACTGCCTCTCTGGGCCTTCATTGTTTGGCCAGGCCTTAAATCCCAGACTTTTTTATTCACCAGAAGATCATTCATTCCCTACCAAAAAGCAACAGGACCTATCAGTTAAACTCATGGACTAAAGAACCCTGGGTTCTAACGCCAACCTATGTGACGCTGGACAAGTTACTTAACCTCTCTGTGCCCTCAATTTCTACGTCTATCAAATGGGGATCAATACAGTGCCCATCTCCTAGGTAAGATTCTGTCTAGGCTGCCTGAGGTTCCCGTGAAGTTTCTATGAGGACAGCATTTTCCATGGTATCAGGCATATGGTTAACATCAACTGGGCCGGTGCCGTGGCTCAATGGGCTAATCCTCTGCCTTGCGGCGCTGGCACACCGGGTTCTAGTCCCGGTCGGGGCACTGGATTCTGTTCCGGTTGCTCCTCTTCCAGGCCAGCTCTCTGCTGTGGCCCGGGAGTGCAGTGGAGGATGGCCCAAGTCCTTGGGCCCTGCACCCCATGGGAGACCAGGAGAAGCACCTGGCTCCTGGCTTCAGATCAGCGCGGTGCGCCGGCCGCAGCGGCCATTGAATGGTGAACCATCGGCAAAGGAAGACCTTCCTCTCTTTCTCTCTCACTATCCACTCTGCCTGTCAAAAAAAAAAATCAGCTGCTGTTGTTCTGATTACTGAAATAAAGAGCCTGTGCCTATTCCCAGGCAGCTGAGTCTCCAACAGGGCTTTCCAGTTCCTGGGCCTTCTCTAGGTCCTTATCCTCCCCCCTCCGGGCTCTTGCTGCTCCCGTGGAAAATCAAAAGCTGTGGTGTCTGTGAGAAGCTGAGATGGATGCGGCTCAAAGGAAACGAGGCTGGAGAATCAAGACAACCATGGGCTGAGGCTCAGGCCCAAGAAGGAAAGGCAAACAGAACATGGATTTCATTCCTATGTCTCTCTTCCTGGAGGAGTTTCATTGGCATGATCCATTTGCATGGTGCCCAGGGGATTGTGAGACACAGGCAAATCCATTTGCTGGGCTCAGGAAGCAACATGTCATGTCAGTTCCTCTCTCTCTCTCTCTCTCTCTCTCTCTTTTTTTTTTTTTTTTTAACAGGCAGAGTGGACAGTGAGAGAGAGAGACAGAGAGAAAGGTCTTCCTTTTTTCCGTTGGTTCACCCCCCATGGCTGCTGTGGTGATCCGAAGCCAGGTGCTTCTCCTGGTCTCCCATGCAGGTGCAGGGCCCAAGCACTTGGGCCATCCTCCACTGCACTCCCGGGCCACAGCAGAGAGCTGGCCTGGAAGAGGAGCAACCGGAACAGAATCCGGCACCCCAACCAGGACTAGAACCCGGTGTGCCAGCGTCGCAAGGCAGAGGATTAGCCTAGTGAGCTGTGGCGCCGGCCCACATACAGTTCCTCTTACTTCACAGTCACAGTCAGGGGACACAATGAAAGCAGGCTGGGCTGACTGGCCAGCGAAAACTGCAGAGGCAAAGAATGGCCTGGGCAGCAAGTTCAGAGCCAGGAACCAAAGATACAGGAGCTGTGTAAAGCACGGACTTGGCACCAGAGAAGAGGTGGCTTTGATTCTGGCTCAGACATTTATTAGCTGTGTGGTGTGGGCCTTTGTACTTAGCCTTTCTGAGGGTCAGTTCCATCCTCTGTAAAATAGTTTGTAAAAATCCCTGCACTTTCAACAGCGGCACCCCGTAGATGCAAACCAAGAAAGAACACTTTCTTTTCTTCATCTCTTCTTTGTGGAGGACTGATTATAAGGGCAAAGATATGCTTAATTTTATTTTAAACTTTAAAAAAATATATCAGAATGCATATACCATAAGGGGTTTTGCTCAGTATACCGCTTCCTACAAGCAGTAATAAAACTACCACTTACTGAGTGCTTCCTGTAACTGAGCCAGTGCTCATGCTCTGTGTGTATGAATGTATTGTAATCCTCATAATAACCCTACCCATCTCCCCTCTTCTATGGCTGGGAAGGCAGGCTTTCCATGAAGTGAGATAACCTGCCCAAAGTCTCAAGGGCAGGAAGCGGCAGAGCTGGGCGTGCCCATACTCTTCACACCAGTGTCGTGACTCAAAATGGGCTCCTCAGGCCTCCATCAGAGAACTCTGTTAAGCAAGCTGCTAAGATCCATAGCGGCCATTTGGGGGGTGAACCAACGGAAGGAAGACCTTTCACTCTCTCTCTCTAACTCTGACTGTTTAAAAAAAAAAAAAGCATAACCTCATTGCTGGGGGCTTCAGAGGTGTTTCAGAGACCACGGGCTCCTGAGAACTGGCATTTTGCTGAGACCAGTTCTAAAATAACCCGGTCTTTGGATTCAGGATCTCGACACTGTTGGTACCATTTCTGCCTTGAAGTTCCACAGAAACTACCCCTAAGAAATCAGCCAGCTGGCTCTGACTACCCATAGCAACCATGCAGCTTGGCCAGATGCCAATCTGTTTGGGAGAATGGCTGAGGCCCCAGAATGTGGCTGGGGAACACTTCTGTGCACTAACTGGCCAGAACAGATCAAAAAAGCCCTCGCTAGCCACCCTTCTTGATAGCTGAGAAACTTCCAAGGATGTGTCAACTAGGAGTAGTTTGTCTGGTTACCTCAAGTCTGCTGCTGCTCAGATGCATCAGTGACTAAGACAGGAACTGTGGGCACAAGTCCTGAGTGAACTGGTTCATGCAGAAGTGACGAATTCAGAAGCCGCTACTTATCCCAATCAACCACAAGGGATCCATGCAGCCATGCAAAACAGAATTGGTCAATAGGAGACTCACAAGTCAATCATTCAACCTTACTCCGTGCACCAGGGATCCAGCAAAGTGAGCATGAGCCTTACCTGGAACAGGACTACGGCTGGCGTGTGTGTGCACGTGTGCATGGGTGTATGTGTGTGTGGGGGGTACTGTATATCCAGCCGTCACCCCATGGCATACCTGCTGGATAACTCACACAGGCTCACACCTGGCTCCTCTGCAGCTCCCAGCCAGTGTGGGCTTAGACAAGAACACAACTGGAACTCCATCTACACCCTGACAAAGGCTCCCTCCATAAGGTGCTACGGGGACCCTAAAGAAGCAGTTCCAGATAGAAGACCATCCTCCACATGGCTCTTTGTTGAACACCCCACTTTGGCTAAGCAACATGCTCCCTCTGCCCCCTAATCTAGGCTCAAACATGCCTCTTCAGGAACATGCTCAGATCCCAAGACCAAGAGTAAAGAAAACACTGGGCAGGGGTAAGGGTAGGCAGGAGGGAGAGAGAAGTGAAGACATCTGGGGAAGGAGAGAGGCCTAAACCATGCCCTTGATCATATTTCCTGTCTAAAGCCCATTCATCCTGTCTCTGATAGCACCATCCCCCATCACCCCCACCAGGCACCGACTCTCAGCCCATGTGGGTATATGCCCAGGCTAGCCAATCAGTGTACTCCACTTTCCTGACCCCAGTGACAACTTGAGGCTGGGTATCTCACTGGTATGGACAAATGAGAACCATGTCCAAGGGTTTTGTCAGTGAAGGAGAGCTCTTTGCACTAATAACTGGAGTATGAGGTCACACCGTGAGGCTTGAGAATAAGACCAACTCAGAGGGAAGTAGAGACAAGTGCTGACCACAACACAAAGTACAAAAGTCAAGAAGTCCTGGGATCCAGCCTGAAGACTCATCTCAGGCTGGCCTTTCAAATATATAAGCTAATACTGCTCCCCCCCCCACCCCAACACCCATCCTCAGCCTTGGAAGGATCTCAAGGTCTTTCCCATCTGTCCATTTTTCTTGTATTCTCAAGACAAAGAGACTTCTCTGGAAAAATAAGAGCAATTCTCTGGTGACAGACTGTCCCAGGGGTGAGAGCCACCATGGAGACGGAGTCCAGCTAGCCTTTGCTAGGATACACACGACTGCTAATGCGCTTTCAAACAACATCAGCGCATAATTCTAGACTCATCCAGTGTTTGTAGTAGCTATAGTTTTTGCCTTCCCAGCACCTTGTTTCAGTATAGACCGCTCTTTCCCTACCCAGGGGAATGCAGGAAAGGTCATGACCCAGATTAGTTTAATAACAGGGCCGAACACCTCTGGCCACAACAGGGCATGCAATTCACAAGAAACCGCTGAGAACTTTCTCTTGGATTTCCCAATTAGAACTGGAAGGGAACAGTTTTCTTTCAGGGTCACCAAGCCAGGACACATGCCCCCACACATGGAGAAAGCCCACTTGCCGGAGGAGAAAAGGAAGCCAGCACAGGGGTCTGCTGGCGTTTGCCTGCTGTCTGCCAAGGTCCATTCTCGCCTTCTCCTTTCTATTATGAGAACTTTCTTCCTTAGAGTTTTGGTTGCCAACTGGAGTCTAGATTTATAGTCTGCATTGTAGGTAAATGCAGCCACCTGTAGGAAGTCAGGTACCTAATGACATGGTGGAGTCCAGCCACTTACTTGCCTTGGACCAGCTGATCTCTGGCCTACCTGCCCCTCTGTGTACTGTTAGGAGAAAGAAATAAACTTCTGTCTTGTCTGAGCCAACTGCATTTTGGTGGTGCCTTTGTGACAGCAGCCCAGTCTGTACCGTTACTAATGTGAAGGTGAAAAAGATACAAAAGTCAAAAGGCCCTGATGGGGCTGAGATTTTTAGAGTTCATTGTTCCACAATAACTTATTACTCATGGGGTTGTTTCTAAGTGCCAAGAACTGTCCTTAATGTTTACCTACAGTTGTTTAATCTACTCGAATTTTCTGAGGTGCTACTGTTATTCCCACTGTACGGCTTAGGGTACCAGGGCACAGAGGGATTAAGTAACTTGTCCATGATTCACGTCACATTGCTGCTCAAGCTAGTCTTTTCTGTGATTTGTTGTGGAAACCAATAAAGCCTCTTTTTTTGCCTAAATTGGCTTAAGCTGGATTTCTGTCACTTGCAACAAACAGTTCCAACTGGATTTTTGTCAAATCTATCTTTCAAATTTCTCAACTGAATGTTGGCCACATGGTGCAAAATTTTAAGATGTTATTTAATGATGCAGTACATTTTTCCCAGGAAGCTTGCTCCCAATTCACCTGTCAGACCACAACTGCAGCTCCTAGACAATGGAGCACACTGCCTGCTTCAAAAGCAAAATCTGTCATTTCTTAACTTCTTGTGCTGTGAAGGCTGTCAGATGACACGATTCAGGGTGATGACAAGCCTAACACGGAGGGATTCCAGTACAGTGCCTGGAAGTATGGGCTCTGCAGCCAGAGTGTCTGGATTCACTGTCACTTCAGCTCCAAGCAGCTTTGGCAACTCACTTATCCTCTGTTTCTTGGGGCCAATAACTAGTTTCCACAGAGTTAAGAGAGGATTAAAGGAATTAAGACATGTAAGGAGCAGAGAAGAATACCCGGTACGCACTCTAAATGTCTGCAGCTGCTATTCTTTATCAGGCATGAGTGCTAACATGGAACAACCTCTGAGATACATAAAGTAAAAGCATCAAGGTGTAGAATGACACAAAACCATGCTCCCGCCATATGCATGAGAGGCTGAGGTATACAACCCTACATACATAAGCTGCCATCCCTTGTTGCTGGGAAAAAACTACTGAGAAGCTGCCTCCGGGAAGTACAGGGTGGGACTGGGCGTTGGGAATGTTTCATTTTTCTTCTTTACTAGTTGAATTTTGCAAATCATATACTTGAATTACTTAGAATTTTTGAAATGAATTTTTTTAAAAAAACCTCAGAAAAAAATGATCCTTCTTCCTCTCACTTCCAGTTGATAGACAAAATGGATCGTCAGATGCATATAGTGGAAAGCTTCCTTTTGGGGGCATTCAAATACAGGCTGACGGGAAGCTATGCACATATCCTGGAAGAATTCTGAGGTGAACAAGAGGTTAGGCCAAAGACCAATACATTCAGCCAATGCCGAGATTCTCCTTTTTTTGAAGACACAAAATAAGAAACGACCTGGGGGGTATGACCCCAAAATTGTAGCCAACACAGACTTCCCGTATCAGACGGGATGCACCTTGGATGTGCACCAAGGGCAAGGCCATCTCTTCTTTCCAGGGCACAGTGAAGAACCCAAGCTGTGGAGCCACACAGACACAGTGGGCTGCTTCTTCGCCGTATGGACTGGAACAAGTTATCTAATGCCTTTGAGTTTTCTTCCCCTCTGTGACATGAGAATACCATTCATGTCATGGTGAGAAATAAGCAGGCTAGTGAAGGTAAAGCCCACAGTACTGCACCAGGCATGCAGTCAAGTGCCTGATGGACAGCAGCAGCCATCGTGGAGGTGGAGAGTAATCACCTTAAAATGACCTGCTCCATGCATCCTTCTTTTAATGTACAAACATTAAAAAAAAAAAAAAAAAAGGCAACCCAGAGGAGTACCGAATTCGACTGGTGGAGATGATTAGATACAGCTGTGTTCACAAACCCTACAACTGGAAATTCAGTCAAGAAGGCTCCTGCTAGAGTCCAAGCCTCAAGGCTGCACTGTTCTGCACCCATTCACTTGGAGCAGATCGGAGCATGAAGCAAGGGCAACCTTCTCTGCACTCTCACTTCTAAGTTTTCCTTTTAAACCGAAGGGCAGAGCAAAACCAGGAAAGGTTTTGCTATCACCCGGAAGTGATGGTAAGAATGGCACTGGCATTCACTCACTCCTCTTCACTTGTTCTGTAAGATGACCTTAACTGTCCCTCATGTACGTATGTGATGAGGCTTACATATAGGTATTTTGGATACCTGTATATACTGTGGGGTTTACGGCAGACACAGGCACACTGAAGGGTTCCGAGTCAGGAAGCGAATTCACCCAGGTTTCATCTTGGGCAAGGAAGGACCACCTGATTAATTCACCCACACAGGAGGCTCAAGTCTGGAACTTCGAAAATGCAAACACTACAGTGCTGAGCCCGCCCTTTTAGTGGAAGCCAAAGGCCCTAGAACAGAATGCTAGCAAGTCTTTTATAAAGTATTCGGGCACAGCTAAGGTCATTTTGGGAAAAGAAATGCTAACTGTCCCCTCCCCCTTCAGGTTGTAATAGCCAACAGGAATCTGGTCTTTGAAGAGGCGCAATCTCCCCCCAGAGTTGTGAGCAATCATGGTAACCGGCCAAGCGTCAGCAGCAGGGCTGCTGAGAGGAAGTATGTGAGTGGTGTGGCCGTGAGAAGCATGCCAGTGACACAATCTCCACGCGGGGAGGGTGCTGCTGCCCCGACGGCCCACTGCAGGCAGGATCCTGCCATCCACAGGGCTGAGGGCTTGCAGCATGGGGAACAGGCGATTCTGTGTTCCAAAGATAAAGGTATGAAATGACTGTTGATTGATAAGGTCAAAGCACAGCATCTGACCACAACTCCTCCATACATTCTGTTATTAAACTCTTGAGAGCTTAGAGCCTTGATGGGTTGAAAAAATCCTGAAGAATTAAGAAAAAAAAAAAAAAGATGTCAAAGAGCTCTTTGTAGATGCCACCAGCTGACTTTGTCCCCAAGTTCATTTTAGAGCCCAAGCGAACTCAAAACATGAGGCAGAGACACTAGACTTGTGTCAGGGGCAAAAACTTCTGGTAGTAGCTCTTGGTGACGTCAATCATCAGCTCCTGGGTGCACTCGGGGAGCTCCCCTGAGAAGAGTCCTAGGGAAAGAAAGACCCGGTCAACCAGGAGGAGACAGGGGCGCCTGCAGCTCGAATTTCTTCTGCCTGGCCCCCAAAGAGCCTTTTTTTTTTTCAGCTGTGAGTATCTAAATACTAGGTTTTCCACCTTCAGTAGTAACATAACATTCTACCAATCATATCTTCTAGATGAGATGAATTTTCTGTGTGGAGTAAACAAATACAGTTCTCCAAATAAAGAGAAATATTCCTGGTAAAAGAAGTGAGTGCATTATTGCGTGCTGTGGAGATTAAGGCATCCCTGATTTCTTTGGAGTCATTCCAGACAAAGGCTGTCTACTCCCAGGAAGCTGCCACGGTCCTGCTGAGCAGCCAAGGGAAGCAACCTGAAGTATCATACAGTTAAACTGAACCCAGTGTTCTATGCCAGACACAGCTAAATCATGGAAAGGAATACAACAAAAAAAACCCACAGAAAGAAAGGAAATGGGGAAATCAGCCAAGAATTTCCAGAAGAGGCCATCTCCGACTGAGTAGAAGTGTATACTCGTGTAACTGTTCTGAAGGATACTCTAGAAACAGCCAGCGAGACTTTCAAGGTTCATATCTTGTGACCTGACAATCCACCTTCTAATAACTTATCCCACAGAAAATTTTGTTCAATTGTACAATGTATGTACAAGAATGTCAGTGTGCTCTGTTTTCTGGTAGTGAGAAACCAGGTACAATTTCTAATGATCCATTATATCAGGATACTAACTAGATCCACCATGGTACATTTACACAATGAAAAAATCTATAAACGTTGAAAAGAATAAGGTAGATCTCTACATACTAACAAGAAAAGATGCCTGAGATATATTATTAAGCAAAGGCAAGTTTCAGAAGAGTAGAGAATAAATATACAAATATACATATATACATACCCATACATACACATTCATATACATGTATAAACACATATATGCACTGTATATTTGTGTGTGTATATGTATACACACATACAAATATATACATATAACTGATAGAATAGGAAAACAGGTTTTAAAGAATACAAAATTTGGGGCCAGTGTGTGGCATAATGGGTTAAGCTACTGCCTACAATGCCAGCATCCCATATGGACACTGGTTCAAGACCTGACTGCTCCACTTCTGATCCGGCTCCCTGCTAATGTACCTGGGAAAGCAGCAGAAAATAATCCAAGTGCTTGGGCCCCTACACCCATGAGGGAGACTTGGATGAAGCTCCTGGCTCCTAGCTTTGGCCTGGCCCAGCTCTGGTCATTGCAGCCATTTAGGGATGTGAACCAGCAGATGGAAGGTCTCTCTCTCTCTAATTTTGCCTTTCAAATAAATAGCCTTAAAAAAAAACCCACAAAATTCAAACATACCCTCTGCAAATTAGTAGCCTATGTTAATTTTTTTTTTTTTTAATTTTTGATAGGCAGAGTGGACAGCGAGAGAGAGAGAGACAGAAAGGTCTTCCTTTTGCCGTTGGTTCACCCTCCAATGGCCGCTGTGGCTGGTGCGCTGCGGCTGACGCACCGCGCTGATCCGAAGCCAGGAGCCAGGTGCTTTTCCTGGTCTCCCATGTGAGTGCAGGGCCCAAGCACTTGGGCCATCCTCCACTGCACTCCCGGGCCATAGCAGAGAGCTGGCCTGGAAGAGGGGCAACCAGGACAGAATCGGGCGCCCTGACCAGGACTAGAACCTGGTGTGCCGGCGCCACAAGGCGGAGGATTAGCCTATTGAGCCACAGCGCCGGCCGCCTATGTTAAATATGAAAACATGTTTGATATGCACAGTATTTAATCATTTTTTTAAAAATTAGTAGCAAACATATAAAAATGTAAAGATATTACAGAACGATTTCAATTTTCAGTGGCTCACAGACCATCAGAAGAGCCCATGACAGCAGGCCTAGGTTACACAGCTATTACTTCAGTCGTTTACATTATTTGCTTGCCTCCTGTAGGCAGCTGAGTGCTCTGCTCCTGACCTACATCCTTTCTGGATGACTTCCTTTTCACTCTGTCCCGTGACTCAGTTTCTTGCTGTGGAGCCCTCCCAAAATGTGCTAATTGTCCTGTAACCCTATGAAAACTGCTAACAGGAAAATTCAAATAGCTAGTATTTACCTGTGATACAACAGAATATAAACATGAGAAGTATCTTTTCAATGTGCAAAAAGCATAGGACTCTAAACAGGCCTGAGTTGTAGGTAAGACTTCCCCACTAATCAGCCTTGACACCTTGGGACACCCACCCTAAGTTTCACTTTCTCATTTATATAGTGACTGCTAAGGTCCAGGGCAGCCTGAATCCTCCATCAGCACCTCCAAATACAATAACCATCTAGGTTAGATTTACCAAACACTGCTTCCCTATCTGCTGCTTTCAATGTTCAACAACCAGAATAAATTGGTACTAAAAAACTTGAATAAATTAAAAGATTAAGATATTTCTCTGGGAGTAGGCACTGCATAACTCGGGACTTGGGATGCCTATATCCCACGTTAAAGTGCCTGGTTTGAGTCCTGGCTACCCTGTGCTTCTGATCCAGCTTCCTGCTAATGCACATGGGAGGCAACAGATAATGGCCCAAGTGCTTGGCCTCCTGCCACCCATATGGGAGAACCAGATGGAGTTCTGGCTATGACTTCAGCCTGGCCTAGTCCTAGTTGTAGTGAGCATTTGGGGAGTGAACCAGAGGACAGAAGATCTTTTTCTGTGAATTTGCCTTTTAAAGAAATAAACACATAAATCTTTTTTTTTTTTTTTTTAAGATATTTATCTGGCAAAATCCTTCTCACTGAAGATTGGATGCTTGCCCGACAATCACCTCAAACAATTGCTGGGGCTGTTCTGGTCCAGCATTTGCTGAGAACAGCTAAATTTTTTCTCTTCGGATGCCAATATGGGGAGAATTACTAAACAAGTCTCTTCTTCCTCCTCTACAGAAGCAGAGATGCAAGGTGCAGCAGAATGGCCACCTGCCTCCCCAAGGATCTGAGTGATGACTCTGTAAAACTTTGAAACTCGTATGTGATAATGAAATTATTTGAATTGGAAAGACACATCCCCCAGTGGTTGGTATCATATAATGTCAAATCTCTCTTCACAACATTTCCCACCTGTGAACTTGAGATATGCCCCTGCATATGCTACAGGATTTCAACTACAAAAAGTACAATGGAGAAGAAGAGACTGTCTTAGGGTAGGGGTGAGGGAATGCTGGACTTTCTTCTTTCATTTTTCAATGTTTTCCAAGTGTTCTGGGATGACCATGGATTATTTTTGTTTCCTTGTATGCTTGTAAACTAGAACTCTGAGCTCATGAGCTTTCTCTACAGGCATTCAAACGTCCAATCAACCTGAGGGCAAGCCCACAGTAAAAATTCTCTAGAGAGATTTTTAATTTTTCCACCCAGAGCTGGGACCAAGACAGAAATGCTTCTTTTCTCCTATTCTTGTGGCATATTTATTCTACATTAACCATTTCTGGGGGGATAGCCCTTTACATCTATTTGCTTTATCTTCCATCCCTACCTGAGTATCATACCCTACATTACTCCACTGTGAAGAAAGCATCAACTGTGCTATCTTACAACTTAGGGTTAGTTTCCTCTTTGTTTTTGAACTTTGATAATTTTCTTACTTTCTTGTAAACCCAATAATGTATTTTGTATTGTTTTAGACACCATTCCTAGGTGTTTTTTAAAAGCAGAATTTTTAAATTAGTTATGTCAACGTACTGTCAGAGACAGTACCTGTATTACTTTGGTAATAAAACTAAATTGAGTTTCCAGGAGGTTAAAACAAAAATAATCAACACCCAAGGTTACCTGGACAGCCTGAGAAGACGGTGAATGGTGGGACCACAGTCTCAGGTGGTAATACCGTGTTGTCAAGAATTTTGCAGCAGTCTTTCAACACACACCGGCGCCCCTGAAATTAAAATCTTGTTAACAGGAAACAGATCAAGAAATGAGAGTAGAGGCCAGCACTGTGGCACAGCCTTCAGCGCTGGCATCCCATATGGACACCAGTTCAATTCCCGGCTGCTCTACTTCTAGCTCCCTGCTAATGCGCGTGGGAAAGCAGTGGAGGATGGCTCAAGTTCTAGGGGCCTTGCCCACATGGGAGACCCAGAAGAAGCTCCTGCCTCCTGGCCCACCTCCGGCAGCTGCAGCCAACTGAGGAGTGAGCAAGCAGATGGAAGACTTCTCTGTCTCTCCTTCTCTCTCTGTAACTCTGCCTTTCAAATAAAATAAATCTTAAAATAAAACAAAGAAATGAGAGCAAAGCTTGACTAGTATGCTGTATGGAGGGATATTTCATATCTTTTCCATTTTGAATATCATATAGTAGCCTGGTACAGTGACAAGAGACTTGGTTGCAATTTCCTGCTTCAGGTGGTACCTGATGAGCAGAGGGACAAAGATGTGCATGTGTTGTGGGGGACCTTTGAGAGGAGGGTCCTAGGTAAGAGGCAGAACAGTTATCTTAGGCATTACAGATCATGTGAACTGCAGTCTTCCAAGAGCCCTGTTTAATCTCTTTTATTTCACTTACTGGATATCTGTTCTTGTCATCTTTTCCAACATCTGTACCCCTTCCTTCTGCTCACTAAACTTGTATTTCCCTTGTGAATCATCCCTATTCCCAACTCAGTCCACATCTTCGCCCCTTAGCCCTCACATCAAACCCCATCCTAGCTACGCAAGTGGTTAAAGGGAGTCCGGAGCTAGCATATAACTCAATGTCTGATGCATCTCAACTCCAGAGCTTCTGCTGGAATTAATGGAAAAGAAATACTTTCCACTGGGGTTTTCAGAGGACAGGATGGAACCGGAACAGATGGCCGTATTTCCATGAAGGAAGAACATGTGTGAGAATGAAGCTCCCATAGAAAGCAGAAAAGTGATGCAGACTAATTCTCATGACATCAGTTGGACCTCTGAAGTCATTTACGCACGATATTAGGATCTACTTCAGTACCCTTAGTTTACTCTAGTCAATACATTTTGCTTTGCACCTTCCAGTTTAGGGTTTGCTTATTATTTGCTCTTTTTTTGTCCAACTGGAAAAAACCACTTTTTGTCAATTCCAACTGGAAAAGTCCTGACAAATTCATTTGGATATGAAATTATGAGTTCCCACTGGCTAGTGATAGTTATTTGAATGTTTGGGCTTGATTTTATCCATTGGTATCACTTCCTAATCCCGCCATAATCCACAGCATTTTGATGGCAAGAAATAAAGTCTGGGAGACTCACCTGTTTTGTAGGTTAAGAGAAAAGAGGGCCTTGTATAGACAGTTTAAATTTGTGCTTTAGACTACAGAGTGAATAAAGTTTCAGTGTTTAGTAACTATTGTTCACACTGTCCGGATTTTAAGTTCACTTTGTTCTGGGTGGACAATACAATAAAATACCCCTGGCCAAGAATGTGGACATCTTCACAAATACTAGGACAATGCTAACCTGTCCAGACTGCAGATTTCACCAAAGAATACAGAGAGCACTTTGATTTGGCTGTGTTCAGATCTTTCCTCATTATTACATGCCCAAATCATACCTATTTCCAGAAAAGGCAGATCGCTAAATGAATTTTTAAAAATGTTTTACATCTCTGAGGTCTGAATTTAAGTGGCTGGCTCAGCTGTCTCCAGCTGGAAGGCTGATAGCATCGGCAGTGCTGTGTAACATCTGTGGCTCAGAAGCAAGTGGTAAACACAGCTCTCTGTTCCTCCTGGAAAGCTGTCTCCCATGAATGTACCTGCTGGTGGCCATTTCAAAACATGGCAACTGGCTATCTCTCCTAGTGACTCCCCAGCTAATATTAACCCAAAGACTTTCTGTCATGCCTAAGCTCCAACACCTCAGACTGAGAACATGGGCACTGAGTAAAAGGAAACAGCAAAGAATGTGCTGATACATTCCCATGGAGGGATCTGTAGACAAGGGTCCTGGGAAAGGAATCTACCACTAGCCATCACACAGCCTGCAGGTGCCTGCTTTGTCCATTAGCTGGCGCTGCTGCCCACTGGATTCCAGAAGCATCTTGGGTAGACTTATCTACCCAAAATGAAAAATGAAATAAAAAATGAAAAAATGCAGGTACTTTTTAGCATGAATGGATTGGTAATAGCTGAAGAGGTAAATAGCTAACCTAATTTTTTATTCTTTCCTACAGATCTTTTCAAGGAGTCAAGAACTATAGGCAGGCTGTTGGCACTGCAGCCACCAGTGTATCTACGTGCAAATTGGTTAGCATCTAAGCCTTGGTTTCCTCATCTGTGAAACAGGACTAAAACTGAACCTGCAGTGGTGTTGTCAAGATTAGGGATAATGGACATAAAATGCACAGCACAATAATAGTGCATATTAGTACTCTTACTAAACTTTTCCTTCAGGCATAAGGACAATTTTGATTCATACATACACCATCATATATTCAACCACAAGACAGATATCACAGGAGATGGTCTAGGAAGGAAGGATCTGTGCATGAGGGCAAGTAAATTCTTCCTGAAAGAGTTCTTGCTAGCTCTAAGATTCTAGAATTTTAAAAGATTTTTTGGAGCTCACTTGAGGAGTTACTGAGGCTCACTGAACTACTGCCAAAACTGAATAATAGCATACATCAAAGTCTAAAAGATGGTACAAAAAGAAGACAATAGGAGTAGAATTCTCTAAGCATTGGAAATATAATTTGGATTTAATCATCCAGACACTTGCTCTGGGGATAAAGGAAAGGGTTATGGGACTAGGCCACTATTGTAATGTCTTCGCTTTGCAAAGAAAGTATAAGAAAACCCCAACTGTGGCTTGGAGGGCAAGTCTTTGTTAAATAGTCAAGGAAAGGGGACAGGATGGATTTTACTGTCTTCCCCCTCTCTTCAACATCAGGCTGAACTGAGGCATCTGTCTCTACTACATACTAAGGAATTCCTCTGGAGCAAGAATATCTGATAGAACATTTCTAGTTAGTGGGGCCAGAGCTGTGGCACAGTGGATTAACGCTCTGGCCTGAAGTGCCAGCATCCCATATAGGCGCTGATTGCTCCACTTTTGATCCAACTCTCTGATATGGCCTGGGAAAGCAGTAGAAGATGGCCCAAGTCCTTGGGCCCCTGCACCCACGTAGGAGACCCGGAGGAAGCTCCTGGCTCCTAGCTTCGGATTGGCGCAGCTCTGGCCGTTGCGGCCAACTGGGGAGTGAACCAGAGGATGGAAGACCTCTCTCTCTCCCTGTCTCTGCCTCTCCTTCTATGTGTAACTCTGACTTTCAAATAAATAATAAATAAATCTTTTTTTAAAAAAATTCTAGTAGCAAGTCAGACTGGAAACAGCAATGTGTTTCTCCACTGCACGTTCATCTTTGCTGTGCTCAATAGCTCCTGGAATGTGAACTGCAAGTGTGATATTTTAGGATCTGACTCTTACCCATAGAGAACTGGCTTTGTATTAATGGGGACAGCCATTAAGGAAACATGAAAATGGTCTGGGCTTTTCCTAGAATCTAGTGTGAGGTGCAAATCTAAAGCATAAAAATGTAGCCCCTGTCTTGAATATCCTCACCTCTACATTCTCATGAGTTCCAATGGCTCTTTGTCTATGAAACAGCAAGCAACTCAATCTTGCAAAGGCTTTGCTGGATAAAATAAATGAATGCCTAAGTTCCTGTGGACCAGGGTCATACAGGTGTTGCTGAGCACAGGGTCTGCTTGTATCCTAACTACTTGCAGTTCCCCTAACATCATGTCCCTTGGTGTTTCTGATTCTTACACATGCCAGTGTCTTTCCTGAAATGCCCACTCTCTCCAGGTCTGCTGGGCCAATTTCTTTTTTTTTTTTTTTTTTAAGATTTTATTTATTTATTGACAGGTAGAGTTACAGACAGTGAGAGAGAGAGAGAGAGGTCTTCTTCCATTGGTTCACTCCCCAGATGGCCACAATGGCCCGAGCTGTGCCGATCCAAAGCCAGGATCCAGGTGCTTCTTCCTGGTCTCCCATGCGCGTGCAGGGGCCCAGGCACTTGGGCCATCCTCCACTGCTTTCCCAGGCCACAGCAGAGAGCTGGACTGGAAAAGGGGTAGCTGGGACTAGAACTGGCGCCCATATGGGATGCCGACGCCGCAGGCGGAAGATTAACCTAGTGCACCACAGCACCGGTGCTGGGCCAATTTCAATTCACCCTTCAGATCCCTTGCCCTCATTATATTATAAACTCAATAAGGTAAGGCAACATAGCAAATTATATTGCCTGGAATTAAATCCCAGCTCCACCATTTCTAGCCTTGTCAAATCCCTTATACTAGGGATAATAACCTAAAGTATCTAAGAGCCTTAGATGATTAAATGAAGTATCAAAGGAGAGTTTAACATCATATGGAAGAAGCTCTATAAGGTTAGTCATTGGGGCAGTTTAAGATGCTGGTTAAGGGGCCGGTGCCATGACGTAGCAGGTAAAGCCACTGCCTACAGCACTGGCATCCCTTATGGGTGCCAGTTCAAGTCCCAGCTGCTCCACTTCTGATTCAGCTCCCTGCCAAGGTACCAGGGAAAGCAGTGGAAATGGTCCAACTGCTTGGGACTCTGCACCCATGTGAGAGATTCTGAAGAAGCTCCTGGCTCCTGGCTTCAGAAGAGTCTAGTTCCAGCCATTGTGGCCATTTGGGGAGTGAAACAGTGGATGGAAGATCTTTGTCTCTCTCTCTCTCTCTCTCTCTCTGCCTCTTTCTCTGTAACTGTTTCAAATAAACAAATAAAGCTTAATAATAAAAAAAAAAAAGGACAGTGGTTAAGACACTCATGTCCCACATTAGAAATGTCTGGGTCCAATTCTTGGTTCTGGCTCCCAAATCCAGTTTCCTATGAATGTACACCCTTGGAGGCAGTGGTGAGGGGTGAAGTAATTAGGTTCCTGGCACTCATGTGGGAGATTTACATTTGAGTTTCTGGCTCCCAGCTTTGGCCCTGGCCAAGCTCAGGCCATTGCACGCATCTGTGGAGTGAACCAGTAGATGGGAACACACACACTATTTTTCTTCTCTCTCCTTCTCAAAAACAAATAAAAATTACAAAACAAAAAAAAATATTAGCCATTATTATTAAAGACTAGAAAAGCTTCAAATTCAACAACAGCTAACCTTGGGAAGATGAGAAACTACTCCCTGCTGGGTGACTGCTGTGAGGGACGGAAAGCAGGGGACAGGGGAGGGAGCTTGGCCAGCCAGGTCCCAGTACTCACAATCACACAGTTCTTGCCGACGTGAACGTAGGAACCAATCTGAGCTGCATTGACCACACAATCTTCCTCAATAAAGACATGGTCCCCGATATGTAAAGGAAAGAACGCAACACTAGAGAAGGAAAAGAAGAACAAAGAAAGGTCAACGTGATGCATTTGGGTCAAAGTTTAATGTAAATTTCAACCTCATTATTTTGTCTTAATAGAAAAATTCCATATACTGAAGAAGATAAATGAGACTAATGGCTCAAAATTAGAAATATTAAACCAAAAAGTATACAGAAACAGCAAGGCAAAAGAGACAGATTTTCAAAGCAGAACAGACATCAAATAAAAATTAATGAATGTTCACTCATTTCTGTTTCCTTTGAAATGCTCATAGATCACTTTTTTAAAAAAAGATTTATTTATTTGAAAGGCAGAGTTGGGGGCCAGAGCTGTGGTGCAGTGGGTTAAAGCCCCTGCCTGTAGTGCCAGCATCTCATATGGGCGCCAGTTCTAGTTGCAGCTGCTCCACTTCCAATCCAGCTCTCTGCTATGGCCCAGGTCCTTGGGCCCCTGCACCCCGTGGGAGACCCAGAAGAAGCTCCTGGATACTGGCTTCAGATCAGCCCAGCTCTGCCCATTGCAGCCATCTGGGGAGTGAACCAGTGGAAGGAAGACCTCTCTCTCTGTCTCTCCCTCTCACTATCTGTAACTCTGCCTCTCAAATAAATAAAATCAAAAAACAAAGAAAGGCAGTTACAGACTATGTTAGGAACAGGGGATATCAAGGGGAGCAAGAGAGACACCGTTCTGTCCATGAGGAACTTCTAAACAAGTGAAGAAACCACATTAAATAAATGATTATAGAAGTAATTAGTTACAACTGTAATAAGTACTGCAGAGACACAATATCAAATTAAGAGTATATAATCAGAGATGTCATGTGACCCAGAGGTTTGGGACAAACTTAACCAAAAATGACATTTAAGCCAAGTCATGAAGGATGAGTAGGAATTAGGAGGCTTTCTCCAGATTTCTGACATCATTCCCATTGTCCAGGATTCCTCAAATGTCACTGTCAGTGGTTCTGTGACTGCACTGATCAAGTAGCTTCCCAGTACTTCTGGATGTAATCTCTGGATTGGAACTGATAGTAACTAGATGTTCACTAGCTTTCCCCAGTCTGGTTCTGCTATGTCATTATGTCAGGAATATTTTGTCAGAGACGACACCTGTCCTCCCCGACCTGTAATTTATTTAAATATTCCTTAATCCAGCAGTATTCTGAGTCTGGACCCCTCATGTAGCAATAAATTTCCTGATCTCATCACAGTCTGCTATTGCAGTACTGACAGTTCTTCATCTTTAAATAAAAAAATCCCACCTTCTATGGTATTATCGGTTCTGGTATGATATGCAGGGGGTGAGGGGGAAAGACCTGCATTCGGGGCCAGCACTGTAGTGTAGTGGGTAAAGCCACTGCCTGCAGTGCTGGCAGCCCATATGGGTACCAATTTGAGTCCCGGCTGCTCCACTTCCGATCCAGCTCTCTGCTGTGGCCTGGGAAAGCAGTGGAAGTTGGCCCAGGTCCTTGGGCCCCTACACCCACATGAGAGACCCAGAGGAAGCTCCTGGCTCCTGGCTTTGCATCAGCACAGTTCCAGCCATTGCGGCCAATTGGGGAGTGAACCAGCGGATGGAAGATCTCTCTCTCTCTCTGCCTCTCCATCTTTCTCTGTGTAACTCTGACTTTCAAATAAATAAATAAAATCTTAAAAAAAAAAAAAAAAGATGTGCATTCATCTTGTCATGTTTTGCTATTTATAATTTGATATGTATGTATTTCTCACATGGGCTTTACATATCCCTCCATTCTATTCATTCTTAGTGCTTTTCCTGGTTGATATACAACCCAATAAGGCCAGTACCAGGAGGTGGAGTCACTAACCCTAGCAGAATGTCAGTCACTATGAGGCCACAGACGGGTACCACAATGTTTTCAGGTTTTCCCGAAAAGGCTTCTGAGCTAATGAGTGAATGTTCACGTGAATAATGTAGGATTACTCTGTGATTCAATTCCTGTGTGTAATGGAAAGCCTAGAGCACCACATCGTTATAGGAAATGTGAGATTACTCCTGCAGGGTATACTCCTAGGTATTATACTTATTTTGATCTAGTTGTTCCCTTCCTGTCCCTCCCTAACCTTGTTCCCCTCATATAAGACCATTTCACATTATATAGTAGACATTCCATTATAGTTCCACATTATATAGTAGTTAACTGTTTATGGAATTGTTTCTGCCACTAGATTTTGAGAACTTTGAGATTTTGTGAACCACTAGATTTTGGTAACTTCATCTACCTTTATATGTCCAGCTTATATCCCAGTGGCTGGCATAAGAAAGCATTCAATAAATTCTCACTGACTTATTGAATGAAATGCGGGTTGAATGAAATGCAGGAAGGATCCAGGAATGCAATTTGTCAAAGAGGAGACGGGCCTGGAGAACACCACCACACAGGCATGGCTCAGTTTTCCTGCTGGGACCACATCTTTTCTTGGACAGTCCTTATTCCCAGTGAGGGATCAGTGAGCCTGACTTGCCCCTGTCCTTTGGGTCACAGCTGTTTAGACCAGGGGTGAACATTTAAATAAGCGGAGCCAATCAAATTCTCTTTCCTCAAAATTTGGACACATGACACAGATCTCTGGTTGCAATCTGTTGGAAACCTGAATGGAGAAGTGACATAGATAAGGGGCTGAGAGAGGCAGCAGGGCTCCATGAACAACTGGGATAGGTACAGCCAATCTGCGAGAGAAGAGAAGAAAGCAGAAATGCATAAAGAATAGCAGAGAAAGACAGTATAATCTTGGAGAAAGAGAGAGAGAGAGAGGCAGGCAGATAGAATAGTTATCTTGACTCTGGCTAGTTATCCAATTGCAGGTTCTAGTCCCTTGTGAGGTGGCTCATTTTATTAGTCTTAGGTTCCATCAAATATGCCTGTTGTCTCTTTAATCAGACCTCTTTACTTTTGCCATTTTAAGTGGATTCATTTCTGTGAACCAACCATCAACTAGACTAAGACAACCACGTCAGAGTTGTGTTCATTATGACACACTCACTACACTACAACTCATCACATGGACACCACCACCAGTAGCAGCATCTTGCCTAAGAGTAGAATAAAGTAATTAAATTACATACCCTTTGCTGAATTTCTTGAATGGTGGCCTTATGACACTACGACTTTTCACAACACAGTGGCGTCCAACTCTTACATTTGCCAGGTCCCCTCGGATGATACAGTCATTCATCACAATGGTCTATAAAAACAAAACACATTTTAAAACATAATAGCAAAAAGAGTAGGGAAAAAGACACTGAGAGTTATGTTCTGATCCACTGCAGCAAATGATCTGTAAAAAGGGTTATCTTTAAAAAAAAAAAAGGATGTATGTATTTATTTGAAGGGCAGAGTTACAGAAACAGAGCAAGAGAGAAAGAGAGAGAGATTTTTCCATCCACTGGTCCACTCTCCAAATGGCTACAATGGCAAGGGCTGGGCCAGGCAGAAGCCAGGAGCCTGAAACTCCATTAGGATCTCCCACAAGGGTGGCAGGGGTCCAAGCACTCAAGCCATCTTCTGTTGCTTTCACAGGCCATTAGCAGGGAGTTGGATCGGAATTGGAGCATCTAGGACTTGTATTGGTACTCATATGGGATACCAGTGTTGTATATGGCTATATAACCCACTGCACACAACATCAGCCTCAAAAGGGGTGTCTTGCAAGGTAAAAACAGAACTGTTCCTGTGACACTGACCACTGCTAGACATGTTCCCAGTGTATCACAAGCTTTGGCCTTTATATCCCATGAATACAACTCACTGAATGAACAACTGGAAGTGCCCACAGCAGAGCTAGTTCATGCCTCTCTTTAGATTCATTCATGTCTACCTGCCCTCCGAGTCTCGGCTGCTTGCTCAGTGAGGAGTCCTGGCTGCTACTACCTTTCTCTTACCTCCTGAGGCTACCAGCTATCTCTAACTTTATGCTCCCAGAGATGGATCCACTGAAGTTCTGATTTGTTATCCAACTTCTGGACTCAGACTAAATGCTATACTACAGGTATAAGATCTGGCTCCAGGCCAGAGCTGCAGCTCACTAGGCTAATCCTCTGCCTGCAGCGCCAGTACCCGGGGTTCTAGTCCCGGTTGGGGTGCCTGTTCTGTCCCAGTTGCTCCTCTTCCAGTCCAGCTCTCTGCTCTGGCCCAGGAAGGCAGTGGAGGATGGGCCAAGTCCTTGGGCCCTGCACCTGCATGGGGGACCAGGAGGAAGCACCTGGCTCCTGGCTTCACACTGGTGCAGCGCGCCGGCCGTAGCGGCCATTTGGGAGGTGAACCAATGGAAGGAAGACCTTTCTCTCTGTCTCTCTCTATCTATAACTCTCTCTCTCTCTCTCACTGTCTAACTCTGCCTGTCCAAAAAAAAAAAAAAAAAAAAAAAAAAATCTGATTTCCTCAGAGACTTCCTGAGGTGCTAACACAACCCAGAATCCTGGGTGAGGGGGCCAGTTAATTCCTCATACTTGGTAAAGAGTAGCCATTCTCAAAACGTCTGTTGAATAAATGAAGTAGATTACAAAAAAAAAAAATTGCACTGAAGTTACAGCTGGAAAAATAAGCAAGGGACCAGATCATAAGAAATTATGCAGATGTTTAGACTTTTTTCCTAAGGCCATAAGAAATCAGTGACAGGGGATTAACATAACTGATTTTCATCTTAGAAATATTACCCTGGAAGCAGATGGAATCTGAATGGAGAATTAAAAGGAATCTGGAGGAAAAGGGGCCCTTAAGAAGACTACAGTGACTCAACATGAAAACAGATAACGGGCCGTCTAAGGCAATAGCTGTGCTGTAACAGGTAAAGCCACTGCGTGTGATGCTGGCATCCCATATGCCACCAGTTAAAGTCCTGGCTGCTCCAGTATGTCTTGCTAATTATATGAAACTCTGCAAAACACAAAGCTAATTTCTAATAGTTTAACATCAGTAGCTAACTGGGGGCAAGGAGGATTGAGGTAAAGAGGTACAAGGGAACTAGGATAATGGAATATTTTACACTTTGATTATGGTAGTAGATGCACACATGTACATATCAGTCAAAAAATTGTCAAACTGCACACTGAAAAATGGGTACATTTTACTGTATGCAAATTAAAAAACAAAAAAGGATAACCCATGTGACTTGGTCACTATTTGGCCAATTATTGGGGATAAGACAATCTAGAGTAGGGTAAGAAAATGTGAAGATTATAAATTAAATTTTGAAATGTTTAGTTTCAGGTATTTGTGGGATGATCAACAGCCAGCTAGAAATAAAGGTCTGGGGACCGGCATTGTGGCACCGTGGGTTTGGCCGCCAACTACAATGCCAGCATCTCATAAGGGCATCAGTTTGATTCTTAGCTGCTCCACTTCCAATCCAGTTCCCTGCTAATGGCCTGGGGAAGCAGCGGAAGATGGTCCAAGTAATTGGGCCCCTGAACCCACACGGGAGACTTGGATGAAGCTCCCGGCTCATGGCTTCAGCCTGGCCCAGCCCTAGCCAGAGCGGCCATTTGGGGAGTGAATCAGCAGATGGAAGATCTCTCTCTCTTTCTTCCTTAATTCTGTAACTCTGCCTTTCAAACAAATTAATTAACTTAAAAAAAAAAAAAAAGAAATAAAGGTCTGGAGCCAGGAAAGTCAGACGAGGGAGACAGATGGGACACCTGATAGGTAGGTGAACCTAGAGAAATCACTAGCCTGAATACCAGGCTCAGAGATGATACTAAAGTGGAGGGGCAGGTAGAGCCTAGCACTTACAGTGCCCATGTCTCAGTGCCAGCAGGTGGGACAGCAGGTACAGCTGCTCCCTGCAACAACAGCATCCCATATGGGCGCTGGTTCATGTCCTGGCAGCTTCACTTCTGATCCAGCTCTCTGCTAATGGCCTGGAAAAGAAGTAGGAGATGGCCCAAATGTTTGGGTCTCTGTCTCCCACATGGGAGACCTGGAAGAAGCTCCTGGCTCCTGGCTTTGGTCTTGCCCACCCTGGCTGTTACAGCCATCTAGGGAGTGAACCAGTGGTTGCAAGATCTCTCTCCACCTCTCCCTCTTTCTGTAACTATGCCTTTCAAATAAATAAATCTTTAAAAAAAAAAAAACCTTCTGTGTATCAAAGGACATTATCAAGAAAGTGAAAGATAATTATAGAATGAGCAAAAATATTTGCAAATCATACATCTGATAAGGGTTTAACATACAGAATACATAAAAAACTCCTACAACTCAGCCACAAAAAGACAACCCAATTTTAACATATGCAAAGGACTGAAGATGTACAAATGGCCAGTAAGTACATGGAGATATTTGCAGCATCATCAGTCATTAGAGAAATACAAAGCAAAACCACACTGCGCTAGACTTCACACCCACGAGGAAGGCCATCATCCAGAAAACAGCAAATAACAGGAGCGGCTGAGGATGTGGAGAAGCTGGCACCCTGCACACTGCTGGGGGTGAACAACAGTTGCACTACAGCCATCACGGAAACCGTCTGGCAGGTCCTCAAAGTTAGACGCAGACTCACCCAGCACCATTCCTAGGTGTATACGCAAAAGAACTGAAGACAGGGACTCGATCAGATACTTGTACACTGCTATTCATTGCAGCATTACTCACAGTAGCTGAACCCAAGTGTCCATCAACAGATGAATGGATAAACAAAATGTGGCACTTACACATACATAATGGAATATTATCTGACTATGAAGAAGAATCATGGCTATGAAGGTGGAACAACACAGATGATCCTTGAAAATATCATGCTAAATTAAGTAAGCCAGATAAAAAAGGACAAATATCATGATTCCACTTATATGACATATCTAGAACAGGCACATTCGTAGAGATAGAAAGCAGACTGAGGTTAGCTAAAAATGGGAATAGATGGGAATGGAGAGTATTCCTTAACAGGTATAGGTTTTCTGGGGCCAGTGCTGTGGCATAGTGGGTAAAGCCGCCACCTGCAGTGCTGGCATCCCATATGGGCACTGGCTTGAGTCTCGGCTGCTCCACTTCCAATCCAGGTCTCTGCTGTGGTCTGGGAAGGCAGTAGAAGATGGCCCAAGTCCTTGGGCCCCTGCACCCACGTGGGAGACCTGGAAGAAGCTCCTGCCTCCTGACTTTGGATCGGGGCAGCTCTGGCCATTGCAGCCAATTGGGGAGTGAACCAGAGGATGGAAGACCTTTCTCTCTCCCTATCTCTCTCTCTCTCTCTCTCTCTGCCTCTACTTCTTTCTCTATATAACTCTGACTTTCAAATAAATAAATAAATCTTTAAGTATAGGTTTTCTGTTTGGGGTGTATATAAACATATATCTCACCACAGGAAAACACCTTCCCTACAAAGTCACAGAAAATGTCTCAGAAGTAGCTGATTTTCATAAGTCCTCTATACATCTGCTACTGAAATCAGATGGAAAAAAAGAATTTTCCAATTCTGTGCAGACACAGTATGTCTGAACTGGATTATGGGAGCATTCTTTTTCCCACTAAATCTCACGGTATGATGGCATAAAGGAGACTGCCTCTACGGAAAATATTTGTGCTCTCTTGGCTGTGACTGTTTTCTCTCTGGAAATTAAAAATGTAATATTTAAAGAAAAACTGATTTCAAAACTGAGTGTCCAATATGGCAGGAATAACAATCAACCTCAGAGCTTGTTAAGCCTAAATATATCTTGCGATACTTTCAGTTTTGCCATGCTCTAATATCATTTGCAGGATTATAGTCATCTATTTGCTATTTCAGTTTATTCAAACTATAAGATTCTAAGCCGTTCAGATTCCATTTTGCAAATCTCTCTCATATTTAAATACCTTTCCTAAGTCTCATATTAACTTTGTTGCAGTTAATTTTGAATGATTAATTATTCTTAAACAGATAATTTTACAAGTATTACTTTAGTAATAATTTTATTTAAAATATTTTATTGCCTGTTTGTTACATGTCCAGTAGTTTAAGGCACACTATATAATATTATACAGTATTTTCCATTCTAGGTACTAGTGTATTTTTTTCCAGCATAAAAGGAAAAAGACTTTCAGTTGCTTCCTTTTATTGAATCGCTTTTGCAATGAAATAAATGGAATCTGGATCACAAAAAGAAAATAAAGAGAACTGGGCAATGTACAACATATAAGCATCAAGGCAACATTTTATCTGCCTTGCTAATGCGGTTATTAGTTGAAGGCAATCAAAGGCATTTGGAGCTGGCTTTGTCCTTTACCTTGCCATTAAGAACGATGTTCTGGCTTCCACACAACACTGATTGGCGACTGACTTTGTTCCCAGATGCCTAAAAGGAAAACAACAGAACATTGGGGTGAGCCAAGTGAGTGGGTTTCTAAGTTACAGGTTCCAACAAGAAAACTCATTAGTGGAGAAAAAAGGACTTGAACGGGGGACCAGTCTACAGTGGGATGAATCCAGGATACTGGAAAAGCAAGTGTGGATGAGGAAAACAAGGGACTCGAGGAGTTCGGATATAGTAGGTCCATGGCTTAGTGGCATCAGGCAGGGACGTGGATCCAAGGCCCAGTTCTAAACAAAGGAGGGTAATGACTTCACCAGTGCCAAAGAGTTGTGAGACCACAAAGCAAAATAACAGCAACGTTAACTGTGCACTTGCCCCGATTCCAGCGTTTCAGACCCATATCACGCACTGACTATAAGGAGCACAGTTACAAGAATATGAAATCGTAGTTAAAAAAGTTTATAAGGGCCTGATACTTAAAACTGTAAATAATTATAGGAGGGGTGGGACTCATCCAAATCTTTTAACTCCACGAGAAAATGAGAAATAAACACAAAGAGCCTTAACTGCCCATTCACGGACTGACAAAGCCAGACCATAAGCGAGGGGTCACTAGGTAATCCCCGACCACTGCCAAAGGGCTCGGGGTGGGTGGGGCAGGGGCAGGATGCGGCAGAGGGCCGTCCGTCAAAGGGACCCGGCGTGCAGACATCTGGACATGCGCACCGTCTCAATGTACTCGGACTTGTTGTAGAGCAGCTCGCCCAGCTCCATGGCCGCCAACTCCTCGCCACAGCTCCGAGTCCTGTCAAACCACGTCCAGACGTCAGGGACGCAAGCTACTTCCGGCTGCTCCGCTACTTCCGGTTTGTCCTCCACTTCCGCTTTAGGCAGCCCCGCGTCTCACAGAGAGCTCGGCTCTCCTCTAGGCGGCCCCGGGCGATTGCTCGGCACTCCTCCCTGGCTGCGCGTGCGCGGACCGAGCAGTGGCTTTAATTGGCCAGGGCTGATCGCGCGCCGCCGGCTTGAGCCCTCAGGTCGCTGCCGGCGCTGAGGTGATCCGGGTCACGGTTACCGGTTCGCTTCTCGGACCCACAGCCTACCGGGCCTCCTTGTCCACAAGCCCGGCGCCGGCAGCTCTTTTCGGTCGGCCTCCGGCCCGATGGAAGAGCCTGCCACCAAACCCCTCAGCAGTGAGGAGAAGGAAAAGGTGCTAGGGCGCGTGGGAAGGGCTGACCCCGCCGTCCCGGGACTCGGGCCTGGCTTTGGTTCCGCTGGCCATCGGAGGGCAGCCGTACTTTCGGACTTGCCCTCCGTTCAGGTCTGAGGGGGACGTCTGAGGGGACGCAGGAAGTGGCAGTGTCGGTTCGCGCGGAGCACACGCGGTGGCATGTGAGGAAGAATGTTGGTGACAGCAGCGCACTCTGAGATTTATGTATTAATTACTTGAAAGGCAAAAGTTAGAGAGAGGGAGACGTTCCATCCGCTCGTTCACGCCCCTGATGGCCTCAACGGCGGGTGCGGGGAGCTTCATCCGGGTCCCCCACGTGGGTGGCGGGGCCCAAACCCTTGGGACTTCCTCTTCTGCGCTCTCGGGCCGTTGGCCCGGAGCTGGATCGGAATCGGAGCCACCAGGCCGGGGCCGATGGGATACCGGTGTCGCTGGCTGCGGTTTAACTGCTAAGCCACGCAGCCTCCCTGAACCCCTCCTACCCACTCAGTCATGGCTTCTCCCCCTCATCCACCCCCCCCCCCAGTAACTTTTTAACAGCCTGGTGCTTCCAGATCTTTTGATGTGTGTGTGTGTGTGTGTGTGTGTAGGGGGGAACGAGGGCGGGGGAGTGTATCCCTCGCGACCAAAAATTAGTATCGCGGCAGGTTCATCAGTGAAATGGTCTGAGTAGTTCTGCAATTTCCGGTTCCCTTAAAGTTCTGTAAAGGGGCAGAGATTGTGGCATTGTGGGTCAAGCCAACACCTGCCACACTGGCATCCCAGCTGGGCCCCGGTTCGAGTCCCGACTGCTCCACTTTCGATCCAGCTCCCCTGCTAATGTGCCTGGGAAAGAAGCAGAAGATGGCCCAAGTCTCTGGGCCCCTGCATCCAGGGGGAATACCTGGATGAAGCTCCTGGCTCCTGCTTGGGGGCGAACCAGCGGATGGAAGATCTGTCTGTCTCTCCCTCTCTCTCTCTCTGTAACTCTGCCTTTCAAACAAAATAAATCTTAAGGAAAACAAGTTCTGTACGGTATTGTGCAGTTTGTAAGTGCCCTTGTTTCTTTAGGTATTAATGTACTGATACACTCTTAGGTCATTTCCAGGTTGTTCTGAGGTTTAATTTGTATGTATTTTGTGCTGTCTGTGCTAAACTCTGCATTAGCTCATGGGTCCCCTTTAGCCTGGCTTACTTTCTAGCAGATGTGAGAAGCATTTACAAATAAACAGTGTCATTCCCAGATATTGATTGATAAAGTGGCTGGCAAGCAGGCAAGCACAGAGGTTAATAACATAAATTCTAGAGCCCTACTACATGGATTTGATTTTGCCGTTACAAGCTGTGATCTTGGACAAATTGCTTAATCTGTGTTTCTGTTTGCTTATCTGTAAAGTGGGGATGATAGTGCTTATCTGTAAAGTGGGGATGATAGCAGGTAAAGCCGCCGCCTGCAGTGCCGGCATCCCATATGGGCGCCGGTTCAAGTCCCGGCTGCTCCTCTTCTGACTGCCTTTCAAATAAATAAATAAATCTTTTTTAAAAAAATGGGGATGATAGTGATAGAATCTATTAGGGTTATTGTGAGGGTTAAATGAGTCAACATATGGAAGTCACTTAGAGAAGTCCCTAGCACAACCAAGGCAACTTTATAAATATGTCAGTTTTTTTTTTTTTTTTGTAATTGAGTGTGAGTAGAGATGATGTTTAATACCAGAAGTGCTGTAGTAAACAGTGCTCTCGAAGCTGAGAAAAAAATAACTATGAAAACATCACACAATTAGCCATTTGTCTAGTGTATTTTGCAGATAGGAAACCTAAAAAAATAAAGTAGATACTTAGGAAAGCAATCCAGGTGATGTTTTATTGGCTGAAGGATGTATGGCTCTAAAAGTTTCCTAGAAAGAAAAAACAAGGTGACTTTGCTGCATAGAAAATCCTTTGAACCACACAAACCAGAGAGACAGCAGGAATCTAAACTTTCAGAGGATAGTAATTTGACTCAACCCAATTCATTTATTTAATAACTCTTTGTTGAATGCTTACTTTGTGCCCAGTTGGGAATTGAGCAGTGAAAGCTCCAATGTCACTGGCATGTGTGTTTCCAAATATCCTTAGCCCTTTCTGCCTTGGATCTTTTACTTCTGTGGTTCCCTCTGCACACACTACCTTTCCCTCTGATCTTCCAAAGCTAGCTCTCTCTTCCTCCACGTAAAGGTTGAAATACTAGTCCTCAGAAATGCCTCTCTAATCACTCTAGCTAATCTACACTCTCACATCCCCTGTTTATCTAGGAATTTATTATCTTGTGAAATTATCTTATCTGTTCATTTGTGGTGTTATTTGTATCCCTCACTGAGGGTAAAGTGTCCAACACCTAGAACAATCACTGACACATAGTGGGTATTCCATAGTCACATAGTCACTGGTATTCCAGGTGCAAGAGAGACCCAGGCCATTGCCTGACCAGATATTCTTTTACTGAGTGATGGAACGTGACAGCTCTACTGCCTTCTGAGGTCTCAGAGAAAAAGAGAAGAAAACATACAGCGTAGTGTGGTCCAGTAAATGCTGTGTTCAGGGAAGCAGAGGGGTGAGATGGTATCTAACCTAGATGTGGGGAAGAACCCAGAACCCTAGGGAAGTAAAAGTCTAAGGTGAGGCTCGAGGATTCAGTAGGAATTAGCAGAGGGAGGAAATGTTCCAAGTGATGGAAACAGTTCATGTCAAGGTCCGGAGACAGTGAGTGTGAGAACTGAAGCTAGGTCTGTGGGCCAGTGCCACTCCCTGGAACCGCGCTGAGCACTGCATGTTCTTGTGTGAAAGTATCCCTTCCCTCTGAGCCCTCTTCTCCACTTACTCAGTATTATTGCTTTTCTTCTTCCAGCTGAAGGAAAAATTAGCTTTCTTGAAAAGGGAGTACAGCAAGACATTGGCTCGCCTTCAGGTAAGTGAATTGTAGTCTCAAATTAAGTACTAATTAAATAAAAAAACAGTTCTGGACAATGATAACTGTAAAGAAATTTTATTTCTTGAGCTACTTTTGTTTTCCCTAGCGTGCCCAAAGAGCTGAAAAGGTTAAGAATTCTATTAAGAAAACAATAGAGGAACAAGAAATCTCACAGCAATTAAACCACTCAGGTAAATGTAATCATTTACTTTTATTGCTTTATTATGCATTTCTCTGGCATATTTGGCTGTTGGTCTTATCCCCATAGCCAGAAGAAAAGGGCTAGCATTTGACACTAATGTAAAATTCATATGCCATAAAATCCACTCAAGAAACCATGCTTTTAGATAGATTGTTTACTTAGTTGCTCATTTTCCTTCTCATCTTAGAAATTATACTTAATGCTTAAATGTTGGAGTTTTTTTTAAAACACTTGGGTATCTTTCTAAAGTGCACAAATCAGTAGTTCTTTGTATTCACAAGACTGTGCAACCATTATCACTATTTAGTTCAAGAACATTTTCACTAGCCAACAAAATGTTCATCCTTCCTAATCTTTCCTCCTCTAAACTCTGGCAGCCAATAATCTCATATGAATTTGCCTATTTTAGACATTTCATATAAATGAAATCATACAATACATGGGCTTCTTTTACTTCTGTAATGTTTTCAACATCCTTCCATCCATCCATGCATGTATCAGTACTTCATTTGTTTTTGAAGCTGAATAACACTCCATTGCATGTATGTACCACAATATAATGTACAATTAGTACATGGACATTTAGGTTGTCTGCTCTTGGGCTGCTATGAATAATTCTGCTATGAACATTGATTATAAGTTTTTGTGTGGATATGTTTTTGATTCTCTTGGATACATATATATGGTTACAATTACTGAGTCATAAGATAATTCTATGAGGAAATGTTAAAATGTTCTCTGTGCCAGCTGTATTATTGTACATTCCTACCAACAACACATAAGGTTCCAATTTTTCCATATCCTCAGCAACATTAATTTTTTTCATTTTTTAAAATAGAGCTACCTTAATGAATATAAAGCGGCGTCAAGTTGTAGTTTTGATTTGTATTTCCTAGTGACTAGTGTATTGGTAAACATCTTTTCATATATTTACTAGCCATGTATATGTTCTTTGGAAGAATTTCTATTTGAGTCCTTTGTCCTTTTTTAAGCAAAATTTATTCAAGAGGCAGAGAGTCAGAAAGCGAAAGAGATGGAGAGAAACAGACAATTTCCATCTGCTGGCTCATTCCTTAAATGCCTGTAATGCCAGAGTTAGGGGCAAAGGTAGATGCTGGAAATTCAGTCCAGGTCTCTTGTGTGGATGAGGGGCCCAAGTACTTGAGCTATCATCTGCTGCTTCCCCCCAGGGTCTGCATTAGCAGGAAGCTTGTATCAGGAGGCAGAGCCAGTAATCAAACCCAGGTACTTCAACATGGGTTGCAGGTGTCCCAAGGAATGTCTTAACCATAGGATAATTCTATGTTTAATCTATGAAGAGCTGTTAAAATGTTCTGCCAAATGCTTACCTACTTTAGCCATTTTCTGAGATTACTTGTCTTTATAATGTTGAATTATAAGAATTCTCCATATTTTCTTGATGCTAGACCCTTAGTAGATATATGATTTGTTAATATTCCAAACTGTGAGCAATGAATTATACTTTCAGTTGGATTACATATTTAGTTACTTTTTTCCCTTTAAGCTTCTAAAAATTATAACTATTTTAAAATATAGATACAATTTTTTAAAATTTAGATATCTGCACAGAGAAAGAGATAGAGATTGAAATATTCTTAAAACTATTCCTTTCTGGTGTTAAAACTCAAGTTTAGTGGAGGCTATTAAAATGATAAAGTAGTATAAAATTATTTGAGGTAAAATTCTTTTTTAAAATGCATGAAATAAAACACCAGGTGAGATTAGAAAATTAAGCAAAAAGGTGACTATGATAAATAATGGGAAGTTTTATAGTTTAAAAACACTTTCTAGGGACTGATGTTTGACACAATAATTAAGACACTGCTTGAGATGCCCACGTCCCATATTGAAGTGCCTGGGTTTGAGTTCTGGCTGTGCTCCTGATAGAAGATACCTGCATAATGTGCTCACTGGCAGGTAGCAGATGATGGCTCAAATAATTGCATCCCTGGTGTCCACATGGGAGGCCCGTGTTGAGTTCTTAGTTCCTGCCTTCATCTTGGCCCAGCCCTGACTGTGGCAGGCATTTGGAGAGTAATCAGTGGACAGATACTCTGGTTATCGCTCTGCCTTTCAAATAAATTAAATAAATAAAATTTTAAAATGACCTTTTCAATACAATTCTGTTTACATAAACTGAAAATTCTCTAGGTTGGTAGAATTTTAAAAACTTGGACCTTGATCTACCTGAATGAAATATTATTGATTGTATTGATTCTTTCCTGAATGTTTGCTAGTTTTTATGTATAATATTTAAAACTAATTTTTTTGTGTTTTAAAACAAAAATATTAATTGTATATTTTTTCTCCTCAGAACCTAAAAACAAAGTATTTCCTAGTAACAAGTTACAAATCAATACCCATCTCCACAAAGAAACTGAAGAAAAGACATCTGTCACACTTGGCGTTGAGCCCAAGTCCTTTAACCCTGGAGATGACACAGAGAAAGTTTTGTATACACAAAGGACTGATGACATCCCAGAACATTTTCCCTGCAGGGTCAATGGCCCTGATGGTGAGAAACAGCAGAATAAGCTGCCAGGGAAAAGAAAGAAGCAGCAGAAGAAAACATTTCTTTCTCAGGAGAGAGAGTATGTCTTTGACACTGATTCACTCATACCGTCTGGAAAAAGACAAAAGGAACAGGAGGAAACCTGTAGCAAAAATCCTGGGTCACCAGTAACTGAAATAAGAATTCACCTTTCTAGTCCTAAGTCTGAAATTCTTGATTCTCCAGTGCCAGTTGCAGAAACTGATGAAGTGAATGTATCAGTTCTACCAACTGCAAAGCCAGAAAGGGATGTTGATCCACTCTTAAGAGGAAATAAGTTTTCTAAGGAGATTACAATCCCTTCGCACAGTCCATTAAATAGCAGTAATAATCAGCACCTTGAACAAACACCTCTTACAGATAACTGTGAACTTATTACTCCAAGCTTAGAAAACATTAGCCCTGTTTCACCTGTTAACTTGGAGGCACGAGGCAAAAACAAGACTGACTTTACAGATAACCCAGTAAGTAAAGCTATAAGTGCAAATAGCCAGCTGCCTAGAAGTCCTAACTTACAGGCAGATAATTCATGTCCTAAAAATGAACTCAGTTACACTAACTTACGAGAAAATAAAAATCATAATGTAGAAGATCAGAGTCACACAGAAAAATCTTTAAGCTCTTCCAGTAGCACTCTTGGTGGTAGAAATGCAAGTCTTAAGGAAAATGAGGTTCTAAGTCAGTCTAAGAGTCTCAGCTTAGAAGCTGTTGCTCCTGTTTCAACAGACAATCAAATACATTCTTGCACAATGCTTGAAGGCCTTCTGTTTCCTGCAGAATATTATGTTAGAACAACACGAAACATGTCAGATTGCCAGAGGAAAGTAGCTCTGGAGGCTGTAATTCAAAGTCATTTAGGGATCAGGAAGAAAGAGTTTAAAAACAAAAATAAGGAAGCAACTAATATTTTAAAGCTTTCCCATGAAGAAACTGACCAAAATGAAATTAGAATGTCAGGAACCTGCACAGGATCAAGTTCAGGAAGTCCTTCTCAGTCATTAACTGAGGTTAGCTCTCCCATTGGGCAAGCTGAATATAGTAAGTTTTCTAGGAAGACAGTTACCCAACCATCTAGTAGAAGGCACAAAGGAAAAAGAAAATCAGTCTGTACCCCACCATTGGATCATCGTGAACTACCTTTGCCAACTTCCAGCACATCAGGTGTTAACAGGTCCAAGGACGAGGTCACCTTGTACAAATATCAGAACAAAAACGCAATTGTTCATGGTAAGAAGAAAATTAAAGGTAAATGAAGGTGTGTTTGATGAAGATGATGATGATGATAACTAACAATTACTATGTGCCTGGCATATTCTAAATGCTATGTAAATAGCTCATTGCTTCGTCACAGTAGTCCTTCATGAGACTACTATCTTCTCACTTTACAGATGAAGAAACTAAGGCATAGGGAGATTAATTAGTTTAATTAAAATGATAGAACTACAATTCAAACCTGGCAGTACTGTATGAGAGTTCGGTAATGTAGCTGGTAAGTTGACACTGAAAAGGAAAATATATTAGGTATTGACATTAAAATTAATATTTATTCAGGTATAATACAGCCTTTTTTAAAAGATTTTTTTATTTATTTCAAAGTCAGAGTTACAGAGAAGCAGAGGCAACGAGAGGTCTTTCATCTGCTGTTTCATTTCCCAAATGGCCACAATGGCCTAGGATGGGCCAGGCTGAAGCCAGGAACCTGGAGCTTCATCTGAGTCTCCAAGGTGGGTATAGGGGCCCAAGAACTTGGGCCATCTTCGGCTGCTTTCCTAAGCACATTAGCAAGAAGCTGGATTGGAAGTGGAGCAGCTGAGGCTTGAACTGGTGCCCATATGGGATGTTGATACTGCAGGCACAGCTTTACCCACTATGCCACAGCACTGTTTCTGCAATACAATCTTTGCTGTATAGAATCCTGGAATAAGTAGGACAAAATGTTAGAGAAAGAGTTCACTGGAAAACTCTTAGAATTGACCATGTGACGTTAAGGCCTGAACAACAAAATATAGTCTCTAAGTCCATGGGACACAAGATTTTGGAGAATATGTTGTAATTTAGACTTTGTAGTCATTATTCATGGATATAGTCATACCTAGCAAAATGAAATAATATCTGATAAAATACTTGAAAACTACATAATTCACTGTGGTTCCAAACTAGGATTCAGTAAACTAAATTAGCAGATGAGAAATATTTTCATCTTTCTCTGTCTCAGCTGCCAACTGTGGTGTAAAAGTGGCCATAGATAATAGGTAAGGATGAATATGTTCTAGTAAAACTTTATATACAAAAATTGGCAGCAGGCTGTTCTGTCCTATGGGATGAAGACTTTGGTCTATAAGCCATAAGTGATTAAAAATAAAAGTCATGAATTTTTTCATCATCTTTTAAGCCAACAAGAATTCAAAGAAATTAAAAAGTGAGCAATCTGTAATAATTTAGGAACTTTTTTTTAAACTTTGAAATAGTGTAAATGATTTTAGGAACCTGCAACTATATTTAAAAACTTTTTCTTGGGGCTAGCCTTTTGGCACAGCAGGTTAAGCCACTGCCTGCAACACCAGCATGCCATATGAGAGCAATTGGAGTCCCGGCTGCTCTGCTTCCAGTCCAGCTCCATGCTAATATGCCTGGGAAAGCAGTAGAAGATGGCCCAAGTATTTGGGCACCTGCCACCTATGTGGAAGATCTGGATGGAGTTCCTGGCTCCCAGCTTGGGGTTGGCTCAGCCCATTTGTAGAGTGGTCCAGTGAGCAGAAGGTCTCTTTACGTCTCTCCCTTTATCTTTGTCACTTTGCCTTGCAAATAAATAAACCTTAAAAAAAAAAAAAAAGGCTTGAGGTAATATTCACATAAAATGGTATTAGCTGCATTCAAGGAACAATTCAGTGGCATTTAGCACATTTACATTGTGCAGCCATAACCCATGTCTTATTAAAAAACATTTTTGTTACCCCAAAAGGGAACCTCATATATATTAAATAGTAGTTTCCCACTTCTGTCCCCAACTACCCTGAACCGACCAGCAGTCTGCATTCTGACATTATGGATTTACCTATTCTGGATTTTTTATATAAATAGATTTGTATGGTATGTGATATTTTGTGTCTGGCTGCTCTCAGTATAATGTTTTCAAGGTACGCCCACCATACCACAGCCTTTATCAGTGCTTTGTGCCTTTTTATAGTTGAATGTTCCACTTATGTACCACGGTTTGTTTTTCTATTCTTCAGTTGGGTGCAGCTTTATTCTGAATTGTGGGTGATTCCAGACATAAAAAACAGTAAATAACTCTTTGCTTGAAAAGGTAACTAAGTTTTCTTTAGTGAGAAGAAACCTGTTGAAATTAGAAGTAGGAAGGACTGCAGAGATTTAGAATCTGGTTCCTTTAGGATGGACAATGAGAAAGGAGGAAAATGAAATGAATTGACCTGCACGCGGTTATACAGCCAATCAATGTTTAAGCTTGAACTCGACCCTGATCTTCCTCCAGTTAATGCTGCCAGCACTGCACCATTTTGGATATTGCAGGAGGATAGCTGCTAGTTAACCACTGAACTATGTTTTTTTAACCCTCAACCAGGTTTCAAAGTCATGGATGGGAACATTTTCCACTATGAGTTTGGAAGCTCACTCTTCATTGCGTGTTAATGTCTCTTCTGTTGGTTTTTGGGTTTTTTGTCTTTTACTATTGCTTATTTTTTATTTTAGGGAAGGAAGGTCATTGTCAAAAAGAGGATTCCCTTTCTCCCACTAGTAATGCTCATTTAGCTTTGGATGATGATGGTTTCAGTGCTCCATTTTGTAAGAATGAAATGCTAAGTTTAAAGCAACTGTCATCTTTTCTTAATGTCACGGACTTTGAGTTACCTGATGAAGACTTTGGGTCCCTTAAGCTTGAAAAACTGAAGCTCTGCTCAGAAAAACAAATTGAGCCTTTTCAATCAAAACTGTATGGAGAGAAGCTTCTTCAAGAAGGAAATTGTTTTATGGAGGAACTGATTCCTAAACAAATAGATACAGAAATGGAGGATGTGGAAGAGGAACATGTTCTATCAGGACAAGCACACCCTAACATGGCAAACCTTGAAAGCCAGAATACAAAGAAGGGCCTTTCTTCATCTATACTGCTTTTCACTCCTTTAAATACTGTTGGACCTGATGATAATGATATGTCTACCACAGACATGTGTTCACCTGCTTTTCCCCTGCTAGGTACTACCCCAGCTTTTGGCTCCCAGGCATACTGTGAACAAGTGTCTGCAGAGGTTGTCGGACAGACTTTCTCCACATCCGAGTTTTCTCAATTGAAAGACACAGGCAGACTTGATAGTGATAGTAAACAATGCAACAGTTCAACCAGCACACTAACACTGGATACCAGTGTGCATGTGTCAGGTAGGCAAGGACAACCTGCCTGTGACTGCCACTCTGGCCCTCCAGCAACACCTCTGCCCAGTGAGTCATTGACTATCCAAGAAAATCAACTTTGTGGAAACATATGCTTGGAGTTGCATAAACATTCGGTGGAACAGGTACAATCTGCTGCCTTGGTGAAATTTTCTCTTAAGGAAAAGGTGTCTTGGTGAACAGGGACAGCATGATTTCTCAACATTGGCCCCTTGGTGTTTAGAATGTTGGAACAAATTTCTTTGCTGTGATTGTATTGTAAACATTAAGCTTGTTCTAGGGAAGTTAAAGTTAATTAAAATACATATTTTTAAAGTATGAGAAATTTCTCGTCGATGAAGCAGTTGCATTTGGAGCTTTGCTACACTTCCCAGAAGAATTAAAAACATAAAAGTGGACATTTTGATGAGTAAGTGGTGCAGGCAGATAGCACGCATATGGTATAGATTAATGGTGTGACTTTTGTTTTCACAGACAGAAGTGGCGGATCTTCCTGCTTGTGATGATAGCATAAACTCACATAACCTACAGCTGGTTTCAAAGTTAAAGGTCAGAAGAGTATTTCCCTTATAGTGTGTCTTATGTCTTACATGTGAAAAATTTAACGAAGAACATTGTTTTGGTTTTAAAGAAGTATTGTTTAATTATCAGAGAGGCAGAAAGAGAATGTGAATGTGAGCTTCCATTCACTGGTTTACTCCCCAAATGTCCACAGTAGCCAGAGCTGAGCCATGCCAGAACCAGGAGCTGGGAATTCAATCCAGGGCTCCCACATGGGTAGCAGGGACCCAGCTACTTGGACCATCCCTGCTGCTCCCCAGGACTCACATCAGTAGGAAGCTGGAAGCTGAGCAGAGCCAGGACACAAACCCAGACACTCCAGTATAGGATACAAGTATCTTAACTGCGAGGCCAAATACCTGCCCCAGAAAATTGAAAAAAAATTTGATCACATAGTTTCTCATTCTTAATACTATTAATACTAATCCTAAAAAACATTTTAGCAAGCAAATGCAGAAAAATGGATTTGAATTATTTGCTTTTCACAATATTTCCCAATATTTGTATTTTGAGCTCTTCTAAAGTTTATATGTCATGCTGTTACCAAGAACAACTTAAGTAATTGAACTTCATACCTAAATTTAAATCAAGCAGTTGCAGAAAGTGAGAGTCAAATTGGAATCATTCATGCCTTTCCTATTCAAATGGTGTAATGTTACTAGGAGAATCACTTCTGGTGATTTATAAGAAATTGGGTAGCAGAGAGCAGGTATTGTAGTGCAGTGCATTAAGCAGCTGCTTGAGATGCCAGGATCCCATGTCAGAGTGCTGATTCAAGTCCTGGCTGCTCTGCCTCAAGTTCAGCTCCCTGCTGATGTGTCTGGAAAGTGATGGATGATAGCTCAAGTACCTGAGTTCCTGCCACCCATATGGGAAACCTGAATGGAGTTCCTAGCTCCTAGCTTTAGCCTGTCCAGGGCTGAGCTCTTATGACCCTACAGGAGTGAACTAAAAGGTGGAAGATATCTCTGTCACTTTGCCTTTCACATAAATAAATAAGTCATTTTTTGAAAAAAAAAAAAAGGGTAGCAGTTCTAAGATTTTGATATGGTGAATGGTTAATCTTTTCTATGTTGTGTGATGACCAAAAATATCTCCAGAGCCTGCTAAGTGTCCTCCGCTCCGACGTGGAGTTATGGATGCAGAATCTCTTGAGAATCACTAGTGTAGAGGAAGGAGTTTCAAATCCACATAAAGTGTTTCTGCCATTTACTAGTGTATGACCTTGGGCAAATTACTTGGCCCTGAATCCCAGATTTCTTTTCTGTAAAAAAACACACAGTAGGGGCCAGCATTGTGGTGCAGCAGATTAAACCACTGCCTGAAACATCGGCATCCCATATGAGTACTGGTTTGAGTTCAGGCTGCTCCACTTCTGATCCAGCTTTCTGCTAATGCACCTGGGAAGGCAGGGGAGGATAGTCCAAGTGTGTGGGCCCCTGCTACCTACATGAGAGACCCAGATCGATTTCCATGCTTCTGGCTTCAGCCTGTCCCAGCCCCAGACTGTTTGGGAAGTGAACCAGTGGATGGAAGATTTGTCTCTCCCTCCTACCTTCCCTTCATCTCTACCTCTAACTCTACCTTTCAAAAAAAAGATAAACAGTAATACCTATAGTCTGTTTCAAAGCTATTCTTGAATCAGTTTTAGTAATTTGGTTTCTTAAGGAATCACCCATTTCATTTCTATTTCAGATTTGTAGTTAAGCAATTATTTTTTGTGTGTCAGTATATCTGCAGTTTAGCCTCTCTTCTGCCATTCCCTCGTTTAGTTTAAGATTTATTTTTTTATTTATTTGAAAGGCAGAGTTACAGAGAGAGGAGAGACAGAAATCTTCCTTCCACAGGTTCACTCCCCAAATGGCTGCAGTGGCCAGGGCTGGGCCAAGCCAAAGCTCAGAGCTGCTTCCAGGTCTCCCACATAGGTGCAAGGGCCCAAGCAGTTGGACCATCTTGGGCTGCTTTCGAGGTACATTATCAGGGAGTGGAGTAGCTGGGCCTCAAAGTGCACCTGTACAGGATGCTGGCATTGCAGGTGGAGACTTAACCTGCTAATTTTTAACTTGATGATTTTGCATGGGCCATGAATGATGTTATAAATACCCACATGGCCTTTGGCAGAAAAAAATGTTCCCCGACTCCTGGATCCACAGTGCTCTTCCTGTCATGAGTAGAGGTGTATTGCATGCTGCTTCAGTGTTATTCCTCCTTCAACCACCAAGTTTTGTTTTGTTTTGTTTTGTTTTGTTTTAAAGAATTATTTACCTGAAAGAGTTACACAGAGAAAGAAGGAGAGGCAGGCAGAGACAGAGAGAGAGGTCTTCCATTTGAAGGTTCACTCCCCAAATGACTGCAACGGCCAGAGCTGAGCTGATCCGAAGCCAGGAGCTTCTTCCAGGTCTCCCATGCAGGTGCAGGGGCCCAAGGACTTGGGCCATCTTCTGCTTTCCCAGGCCTTAGCAGAGAGCTGGATTGGAAGAGGAGCAGCCAGGACTCAAACCAGTGCCCATATGGGATGCCGGTGCTGCAGGCCAGGGCTTTAACCCACTATACCACTGCACCAGCGCCCCCTCCTTTTTTTAAAAAAGTTTTATTTTGTTTACTTGAAAGAGTTGCAGAGAGAGATGTCTTCTATCCGCTGGTTTACTCCCCAAATGGCTGCAATGGCCAGAGCTGCGCTGATCAAAGCCAGGAGCCAGGAGCTTCTTCTGGGTCTCCCATGTGTATGCAGAGGCCCAAGCACTTGGGGCATCTTCTACTGCTTTCCCAGGCCATAACAGGGAGCTGGATTAGAAGTGGAGCAGCCGGGGCTTGAACTTGTGCCCCTATGGGATGCCAGTACTGTAGGCTGGGGCTTTAACCTGCTGTGCTACAGTGCTAGCCCCCAACCAACAAGTTTTTCATCAGGGTGTTTACTTTCCAGATGAATACAGGTTGTTATAGACTTTTCACAGGTAAGTCCGAATTTATCCCATGGTGAAGCCATGCATTTTAAAATCTACCATGATATGTCAATGGATAATTTTTTTAGTTATGTGAGACCCATAAAACTGTTTCAACCAATGTAAAACTTCAATTTTACTTCCCTGGTATTTCACCCAATTTTTGTAATTGGTTACTTTAGATACATATTCTTTTTATAAAACAAACCTCAGGCCTCTTTTAACCTAACTGTTGATGCCATTCTGAGTCAGAATGCTTCTGGTTCCTGCTCTGTGGATGTGAGTGCCATGTGGTGGGAAAGAGCTGGTGTCAAGGAGCCATGCATCATAACTGCATGTGAATACGTTGTTGCTCTGTGGAAACCTCTGGATGCTCAGCGGTGGAAGAAAAATTATACCTGGCACTTCACAGAGGTAAGTTGGAATCTTAAAGCTTAAATAAGTGTTTCAGGGCAGACAGTGTGAGGTACCTAATTAAGATGCTACCGGCGACTCAGGCATCCCATATGGGTGCTGATTTGTGTCCTGACTGCTCCACTTCTGATCTAGCTCCCTGCTAATGTGGCTGGGAAAGCAGTGGAAGATGGCCCAAGTAGTTGGGCCCCAGGACCCATGTGGGAGACCTAGATGAAGGTCCTGGCTTTAGTCTGCCCAGCCCTGGACTTTGCAATCGTTTTTTTGTGTTGTTGTTTGTCGCTCCCCCTCTTCACGGAGGAACGACACAGGACCCTGCGCTGTTCTTTTGTCTGCTCGGCCCTTCCCAGGTTTGCTGCTGGTTCTTCCCGGGTTGGCTGCCGTCCCTCCACCTCTGTGGAAGGGCGATTCCCCCTGCCACTTTCCCCACTTCCGCGGGGGAGCGGCACACCGCCGGCCGGCTCTCTCGGGGGCTACTCAGATGTTCCTCAGGTGTTCCCTTTAGATGTTCCTGGTGCATGTTGTCTCTCTCCTCCTTTATAGTCCTTTTCCACCAATCCCAACTCTGCTACCCACACGCCGAGTACGCTGCTCTCCTCCAATCAGGAGCAGGATCAGCTCCTGCAGGTCATCACTCAAGTTGGCGAGAGGCAGCTGCGTAGAAGTTGTTTTCTCCCTTCTCAGCGCCATATTGTGGGAGAGCAGATGCATAGAATAAGTCTTAATTCCAGTAACTTAGTCTAGTCCGAGTTGCTCCCCACAGTTGTTGGTTTTGTTTTTTTTTTTTGTTTTTGTTTTTGTTTTTTTTTTTGATGGACAGAGAAAGACAGAGAGAAAGGTCTTCCTTCTGTTGGTTCACCCCCCAAATGGCCGCTATGGCCGGAGCTACGCCGATCAGAAGCCAGGAACCAGGTACTTCCTCCTGGTCTCCCATGCGGGTGCAGGGGCCCAAGTACTTGGGCCATCCTCCTCTGCCTTCCTGGGCCACAGCAGAGAGCTGGACTGGAAGAGGAGCAACTGGGACTAGGACCCGGTACCCATATGGGATGCTGGTGCCGCAGGCAGAGGATTAACCAAGTGAGCCACGGCGCCGGTCATGCAATCAGTTTTTAAGTGGCTGCGTGATGTTTTCTTTCTTCATCTGCCAGATGACTTACTTATTACCCTGTTGTTAGAAGTGTAGGCTGCATTAAGTGCTGAGTAAACACTGTTAGGCATACAGCTTGTTTGGATTTACAGCTTATAAATAGTTTTTTTTTTTGTAGATTTTATTTATTTATTTGAGAGAGAGAGTTACAGACAGAGACAGGGAGAGGCAGAGAAGGTCTTCCGTCTGCTGGTTCACTCCCCAATTGGCTGCAATGGCCAGAGCTGCCCTGATTCATAGCCAGGAGCCAGGAGCTTCTTCCTGGTCTCCCATGCGGGTACTTGGGCCATCTTCCACTGCTTTCTTTGGCCATAGCAGAGAGTTGGATGGGAAGAGGAGCAGCTGAGACTAGAATGGGCGCCCATATGGAATGCCGGCGCTGCAGGTGGAGGATTAACCTACTTCGCCACAGTGCTGGCCCCATGAATAGTTTTATTTTTTTAACCTTCTCACATGGTTCTAATGTGGAAACTATCCTGGTACAGTGAGAATACAGAAATACAAAAGAATGCAATACATTTTAGAAATTTTAGATAAGTTAAAAAACTAACTGTAATTTTTGGCTGCTTTGTTTTATTTAGGTTCCAATTTTACAAATAGTTCCTGTGCCTGATGTTGGTAACCTAGTGTGTGTAGCTTTGGGAAATCTGGAAATCAGAGAAATCAGGTATGTAGCACTAAGTAGTGATTCAGTTTTTCTTTATCTTTGTCTCTGGTGAGCTTGTTTTGAATGCAGATTGTAATATATTGTTTGAGTATAATATTTTGAGTACAGGTTTGAGTCCTGAAAGGATCTAAATGTTGGCATAAAAAGAGATTTGTTTTAAAAAGAAAATCAGAATGACATCCCTAGCTAAAGTTTCCATTTCAAATCTGAACCTCATCTTTTTTTTTTTTAATTTATTATTATTTTTTTTTGACAGGCAGAGTTAGACAGTGAGAGAGAGAGAGACAGAGAGAAAGGTTTTTCCTTGCTGTTGGTTCACCCTCCAATGGCCGCTGTGGCCAGCGCGCTGCGGCCGGCGTACCGCGCTGATCCGATGGCAGGAGCCAGGTACTTATCCTGGTCTCCCATGGGGTGCAGGGCCCAAGGACTTGGGCCATCCTCCACTGCACTCCCTGGCCACAGCAGAGAGCTGGCCTGGAAGAGGGGCAACCGGGACAGAATCCGGTGCCCTGGCCGGGACTAGAACCCGGTGTGCCGGCACCGCAAGGTGGAGGATTAGCCTAGTGAGCAGCAGCGCCGGCCTGAACCTCATCTTTTAATAAGGCTTGTCCCGGCTTCTCATTTTTCCTTTATTTGATCTAGGGCATTACTTTGTCCCTGTGATGATAACAGTGAAAAGCAAGTCCTACTGAAATCTGGAAACATAAAAGCTGTGATTGGCCTGACCAAGAGGAGACTAGTCAATTGCAGTGGCGCCCTTGGTGACCAACAGGTAGAAGTCGTGACATTTGCGGAAGATGGAGGGTAAGAAAAGGATTGGCTGATTTTTTTTTTAATTATTAAAGAATGATGTTGTCACAGGTTTCAGAGAAAGCTAGAGACTCGAATCTTGTTTTTCTGTGCTGTAGGCATAGCATTAGCAGATTTGCCTCAACACTGGGTTATAAGAGAGAAGCAGGTGAGAGGTATAAGCTAGGCTCAGCACGGAAGATGGCAGTGGAGTAGCAAATGCAGTTTGTTGGTTCTTCCACATTCTTCTAAATCTCTGTGTCCCTTCATTATCTCTGCCCTTTCCCCACTCCCCACACTTGATGTCTAGTGCTTCAGTGACATCTAGAGGCTGACTGCTTGCAAATACACATTTGCAGCTCTGACCTCTTTCTTGACCTTTTGACCTGCATGCCCACATACCTTGCAGACAACTCAGATTATCATGTTGAAAACTGAACTCACTGTCTCTCCCTCTCTGTCTGTAACTCTACCTTTCAAATAAGTAAATCTTAAAAACAAAAACAAACGGAAAAATAAACAACTGGGGGGTGGTTGGAGGCTGGCGGCATTGTGGCACAATGGGTTAAGCTGCTGCCTGTGACGCCAGCATCCCATATGAATCCCAGTTTGAGAATCTTTGCTGATGGCCTAAGTGCTTTGGCCCCTGCTACCCACATAGGAGACCCAGATGAAGTTCCAGGCTCATGGCTTTTGCCTGTCCGAGCCCTGACCATTTTGGGAAATGAGCCAGCAGATAAAGATTCTCTCTCTCTCTCTTTTTCTCTCTCTCTCTCCCTTTCTCCCCCTCTCTTTCCCTCTCTCTCTGTAATGCTGCCTTTCAAATAAAATAAATAAATCTTAGGAATAACAGAAAATTGAATTGAACGTTGTGTTTATTGCTATTATCTCTCTCTCTGTCCTAATAATCAAGGCAGGGACCTTGTCTTACTTATTCATGGCCTATTGCAATAATGTAGGCAAGAGATAAATACTAGTTTGCTTTAATTAGGAAAGTGTTAGTGTAGATGGAAAAAAGCAGACAGGTTTGTGAGATGTGATATAAAGTCACCAGGACATGGTGAGACTGGATTGGGAGGAACAAGACAGGATAATGTCCAGGTTTCAAGGTTGATCACTTGGATAGATCTTGTGCAGTTAAATCATTGAGATACAGAAAGAGAAGATTTAAAGGGAAAACTGCGAGTTTCATGTTGGATATGAGAAATTTGAGGTGCTTGCAACATATCCCAGAAGATGTGATATGAAAATAGGATATATTCACTATAGAAAGTTTAGACTCTATGTGATTGCTGGTTCAAATGTTTTTCTGGTGTTTCATTAATTTTTTTTGTTCATAGTTCAAAGTTATGTAGGAAAGCTACTTAGAAACTGCTTTGGTACACATTACTGATTTTTAATACTGTTTTGAATGCAGAATCAAAGAAAAACAGTTTTTGATGCCCCCTGAAGAGACTATACTAACTTTTGCTGAGGTCCAAGGGATGGAGGAAACTCTGCTTGGTACCACTGTTATGAACAATATTATTATTTGGTAAGTTTTCACTCTGGGTCCTAAGTCTCATCTGTGAGTATGCAGATGTACTTCTAACTTTATAGGTTGTGAAGACTGGATAACAGACTTTGTAAACATGATTGTGGGTTTTTTTGTTTTTTAATTAATATTTATTTATTTGAAAGTCAGAGTTACAGAGAGGAAGAGACAAAGATTCACTCCTCAAATGGCTGCAGTGGCTGGGGCTGAGCCAGGCCAAAGCCAGGAGCTAGGAGCTTCTTCTAGGTCTCCAGCATGGGTGGCAGGTGCCTAAGCACTTTGGGCCATCCTCTGCTGCTTTTCCCAGGCCATCAGTGGGGAGCTAAATCAGAAGTGGAGCAGCCAGGACTGGAATTGGTGACCATATGGGATACTGGTATTGCAGGCAGCAGGTTAACCTACTGCACCACAACGCCAGCCCCTCCATGTGGCTTCTCCATTTCCCTTAAGGGATGTCTTCAGCCCCACAGTTTTGCCTTCTGTTCTGTTGAATCATCTCGGTCTTCCTTCCTGAATGTTTCCCTCCCTGAATTTATGTTGCCCTTGTTTTTAACTGAACGTTTGCTGCTTTATGTTGTTCATCTTTTCTGGTCCTGGAAGGTAGGTACATGTCTTATATCTGTTGTCAGTGTCTGCTTAGGATAACTACTCAAAGATGTATTGATCATAGAAGCAAAAGCTATTATTTACTTTTCAATCTCTATAATTTTACGTTCATGCTTATGATTTGTTCACCTTTCCTATTTAACTCTTGATATTGTAGATGTCTAAAAAGTTTAAGCTATACTCAAGGTTCAGATTGGCTTTTTTAAACTATTGCTGAAGGGAGCCGGTGCTGTGGTATAGCGGGTAAAGCCACCACCTACAGTGCCAGCATCCCATATGGACGCTGATCCACTTCTGATCCAACTCTCTGCTATGGCCTGGGAAAGCAGTAGAAGATGACCCAAGTCCTTGGGCCCCTGCACCCACATGGGAGACCCGGAAGAAGCTCCTGGCTCCTGGCTTCGGATAAGCACAGCTCTGGCTGTTGCGGTCATCTGGGGAGTGAACCATCGGATGGAAGACCTCTCTCTCTCTCTCTCTCTCTCTCTCTCTCTCTCTCTGCCTCTCCTTTTCTCTCTGTGTAACTCTAACTTTCAAATAAATAAATAAAATATTAAAAAAATAACTGTTGCTGAAGGTCTAAAATATTTCATCATGACCAAGCTATGTTAACTGAACATCATCTTTTAGTCATTCAACAGATGTTTGAGTCTCTACTCAGTGTACCATTTTCTGTGAAATCTGCATAGATGAATCAGATAGGAATCCTGGACCCAAGGTGCCCCTAAAGTCTGATGTGTAAATAGATTCCTTCACAATTCAAAGTATACAGTTCCAGCACAATTCCTTTACAGTTCATACAAGGTCAAACTGACAGAGATTTGGACAAAATGCTTTGGGATTTAGGAGAGCGCAGTTATTAACTACAGAACATATCCTAACCTCTATAGGCGGTAACCCTATTCTGGTATCCCTTATAGAAAGAGAACCATGCCTGTGCACATGGAAATTTACTTTTCTTAGTTTTTTTTTTTCTTTTAAGATTTGTATTTATTTATTTGAAAGGCAGAGTTACAGAGTGAGAGATTCATCTTCCATCTGCTGGTTCACATGTGGCTGCTGTGCCTGGGGATGGACCAGGCGGAAGTCAGGAGCCAGGAGCTTCATCCGGATCTCCCACATGAGTAGCAGCAGGACAATTGGGCCATTTTCCGCTGTCTTCCTAGGCACGTTAGCAGGGAGCTGGATCAGAAGTTTGAGCATCCAGGCCCGAATCAGTACTCATAAGGGATGCTGGGCTCCTCACAAGCAGTGGCTCAGCCTGCTCCACCACGATGCCTGCTCCCCCTTCGTTAATTTTGTATACACAGGACTTGGCCCATGGACAGTTCTGTATTTGTTGAATAATGCATTATAACCTATTGTAGCATATAGTAAATATGAAAGGAGGCATACTGACAGTGCTGAAGGGAATTAAAGGAGAGGGGCTGTGGTGGACTGCCATAGACAGTGGAGAGTCTACCTGAGTTCATGGAGCTCAGCGGAGATGGGATGAGATCCAGCATTTAGGAGCAAATGGGAATTGGCTGATAATAGAGAGAGCATTGGATAGGATACCTTGAGCAGAGGTCTAGAGCCATGGATGTGCTTCATTTATTCTGTGGTCAGTAAGATTTGGGGAAAGAAAGTGAGTAATGTATTGCAGTACTGGGTTCATGATCATAACTGCCATGAAAAGGAGCCTGGATTTTATCTTAAAAAACAAAACAAAACAAAAGATTTATTTGTTCATTTGAAATGCAGTTAAAGAAAGAGTGGGAGGGGCTGGTGCGGTGGCATTGCCTGCCACTGTCAGTGATGCTGGCATCCCATATGGGCACCAGTTCCATTCCTAGCCGTTCTACTTCCGATCCAGCTCCCTGCTATTGCATCTGGGAAAGCAGCAGAGGATGGCCCTACGTACTTAGACCCCTGCACCCACGTGGGTGATCTGGAAGAAGCTCTTGGCTCCTGGCTTCAGATCAGCCCAGCTTCCATTTGGGGAATGAAACAAGAGATAGAAGATCTCTCTCTCTGTGTCTCTACCTCTCTCTAACTGCATTTCAAATAACTAAATAAATCTTAAAAGGGGGGGGGGGGACTGTGGAGATCTGATTAAAAAAAATAGTAAAATCAAATCATTTTAAAAAGAGGGGAGAGTGAGACAGAGAGAGAGAGAGAGAGCTTCCTCCACTGGTTCACTCCCAAAATGGCCACAGTAATCAGGGCTGGGCCAGGCCGAAGCCATAAGGAAGGAACTCCATCCAGGTCTCCCACATGAGTAGCAGGGACCCAGGCTCTTGGGCCATCTTCTGCTGCTTTCCCAGGCACATTTGCAAGGAGTTGGGTCAGAACTGGAGTGGCAAGAACTGGAGCTGTCACTTGGGTTTTATCTTCTAGCTAATGGGGAACCAGCTGAAAGTTTTTTCATCAGTAGAGTAACCTGCAAGAGCAGTTCTCAGTGTCACAGATCTTTAAGGCTGAGAAGTGGCTCCAAAAAACTTTCTCTTTTGTCTCTTTATATTCCACCCTCTTCTCTCTGTTCTTGTTTCTGTTTTTTTTTTCCCCCCAGCTCAGTCTTCCATTCTCTTGATCTGCATCTAATGTAACCATATGTGTTAGAGACATAATTGTAAGTCTGTTTTAGGTGTGGTCTCTTACCCACCAAATGTGGTTTCCTGGCCGTTTTCTTTTCCTTGCAAAATGTAGGCATATCAAGAAATATCACAAAGTCACAATTCTCGCACCGTACCACGTTTCTGATTACAATCTGACATGATTAGATGGTGGAAAGCTTTTCTCATGACTTTGGAGAGATTCTGTTATGGCGTAACAGAGTCAATTTACGGCTGAAGTATCCAAGTAAACTCTTGGCAAAGTTTACCTACAGTTCTTAACTAAATTGGTGATTAAACAAAACTAAGGTACTTCTCAGTTTGTTCCTTGATCTCCTCCTAAAAGATGAAGTGATGAATAAGAAAACGTGTGAAAACCAGTTTGCTGGGAAAATAATGATAAGCTTTTTGTTGTTGTTGTTGTTGTCTAAGGAATTTAAAAACTGGTCAGCTCCTGAAAAATATGCACATTGATGATTCTTACCATGCTTCAGTCTGTCACAAAGCGTACTCTGAAATGGTAAGTAGTGATCTTGCCCCACTTGGTGTGTTATTACTGGTCTTGCAAGGTGAGAGCGGTTACTCAGTATGTAATAATTAACGGACCCTCCCTGTTACCTATATTTTCAAAATTGGATGGTAATGTTATTACTTGAGAGTTATGGGAAAAAAATAGTATTGCTACAATGTGATTGGTAGATTTGCTGACCATGTGACTTTTAGACATTTGTTTCTACCTGTGAATTTGTACTAAAAATATTGTGCCTACTCTCAGACTTGACTCACAACCACGTTGCTGTGAATAATTTATGATGTGAGTGAATACCCTTAAAGAGAACGATTAAAATGTCCTAGACATGTTTTCTCTTAGACTTTAGTGTTTTATAGAAACAAATGCAAATGTTCAGCTATTGTGTTGAAACACTTGGCTTACAGTCTACTCTTGACATCCGGACAGATTGGAGGTAGCTGTCCAGGAGGGTAGAGTAACTCAGAAGCCACAAGCATAGGCAGTAGCAGCAGGCTTAATGCTTGTGTGGAGACTGACTTGCCAGGCATCAGTAGCAACCCTCAGAGCACTAGAATCACCTCTGTAGCCAAGCAGGATCCCTGGAATTTGAACTCAAAACTTGAGCGCTCTTAGATAATCTTGAGCCTAACTTTTTTCACCTTTAAAATTAGAGGATTGAATTTGTCTATAGAATTTACCTATTATGCATTTAAATAATGTTGTGCCTTTTGTATTACAACTTTGGAATTAAAACTATTTTTACATTTACATTTATTTATTTAAGTTATGCAAGTTTCATGTATTTCATATATACAGATTTAGGAACATAGTCACACTTCCCCCTCACCCTTCCTCTGGTATTAAACCTTTTGATACAGTAATGTAAGATAGTAAGTAAAAGTCCACCATGCAGTGAACCTTTGGAAATGATCATTTATTATCTTTTGCACGATTGTTTAGTGTGAACTTCATCCACAAAGGACTAGAGAGTGAATACTTTCAGCTCTGCTGACCATTCAGGCTATCGTAAATACTCTGCTTGCTGGGGTGCAAAATCAGTCATAGGCAATATGGAAATGAAGGGATGTGGCTGATAAAACTTGGTGGACACTGAAATTTGAATTTCGTATAATTTTCACATCACCAAAATAGTCTTTGAATTTTTTTCAACCATTTCAAAATATGAAAAAATTCTTAACTCATGAAGCATACAAAAGTTAGTGTTGGGCAGGAATTGGCCTGTGCACCAATGTGTGGCATTTAGCATTTTAAAATTTGACATTTTCTAAATACAAAAGTAGGGTTTTTTTTTTTTTTGAGATTTATTAACTTATTTGAAAGGCAGAGTTACAGAGATAGTAGGAGACAGAAAGATCTTCCATCCACTGGTTCACTCCCTAAATGGTCGCATTGGCCGGGTGTGGGCAAGGCTGAAGCCAGGAGTTTCATCCAGGTCTCCCACTTAGGTGCAGGGGCTCATGGACTTGGGCCATCTTCTGCTGCTTTCCCAGACACATTTGCAGGGAGCTTGATTGGAAGTGGAGCACCTGGGACATGAACCAGTGCCTGTATGGGATGCTGGCACTGCAGGCAGCTGTTTAACCTGCTACACTTCAGTGCCAGCCCCGAGTTAAGTTTATTTTTAAAAAATTGTTTATTTTATTCATTTGAGAGATAGGCGGAGTTCCCATCTACTGGTTTACTTTCCAAATGCCGTCAAGGGCCAGAGTTGGGCCAGGCCAAAGCTGGGAACCAGGAACTCACAATTCAGGTCTTCTACAAGTGGCTGCTGCCTCTCAGAGTCTACTTTAGCAGAAAGCTGGAATCAGGAACAGAGCTGGGACTTGAACCCTAGCAATCTGATATGAGATATGAACATACCAACCAGCATATTAACTACCAAGCCAGATGCCTTTCCTAAGAATAATTTTCATTTAAAAACTCAGTCTAGAAATGTGTAAGATAGAAATGAATGCTACTAATTCTAAAATGGTTCAGTAGTTGATTTTCCTCATTGTATTCCCAAAGAGAACTTTCTCAACAACCCACTCTACCCCCCACCACACACACGTACACACGCACATTAGAACCTGTGATTTTAAAGCTTGAGAGATCTTTGCCCTTTTTTTTTTTCATAGAAATCACCATAATTGATGATATCTTTTTTTGTCATTCTTACTCTTAGTGTAGAGTAGCAGTGCCTAATTTTTAAATAGGCTCTTGTGGGCTGGCCTAAGAATCCAGTTGCCATTTACAATATTGTTTTTATGGGAAAATGTTGTGAATTTCTAATTGGAGGACTCCATACATGTGTTTATGGGTCTTCTTTCCCTGTGTCAGCATTTCCCCAAGTGGATTGCATGAGGTGTAGTCAGGTCTAAGGTGAAGGAAATTGAAGAGTGAGCTAGTTTCCATGCCTAGCTAAGAGTTGCTGGAACAGTAATAATCTCTAAAGTTCCTGCTTGGGTGGGACAGGGTGGGGGTTGGGGAGAGACAGGCAGTGACTAATCCCAGATGCTTGTGAACCTGCTGATCATGTCTGTAATTCTTTGATTGTGTCTCCACCTACCCTTTCTTTTTCCCAACTTGCTCTTGATAAACTGATTGGTTATTAATTTTTTTTCTCCTAAATTAGGGGCTCCTGTTTCTTGTTCTGAATCATCCTTGTGCCAAAGACAGTGAGTCGCTGGAAAACCCTGTGTTTCAGCTGATTGCAGTTAACCCTAAGACGTCCTTGAATGTGGGAGTGATGCTGTATTGCCTTCCTCAAGGGCAGGCCGGAAGGCAAGTGTGCATGGTTGCTATTCCTGAGCGTTGCACGTTGAAGGGCGTTGTGCAAATGCCAAAACTAGGTATCTTTGTGTCACTTAGATGAATGGGAAACATGAGATACTGCAGATCATAGTAAGGATGTTAAGAAAGATGAAGTGGATTTTAGTCAAATTCCAGATTCCCTGTATCCTGAGCCCCATTGGTATGGGATTAGATAGGATTTTTTCCATAAGGAAAACATTTTAAATGAAATTGAAGGTGGGGGAATAGCGGCATTTGGCCCGCAGTTAAGAAACCCACATCTTCATAAAACACTAATGAAGAGGAGCCATCAGGACTAGAACCGGCGCCCATATGGGATGCCGATGCTTCAGTCCAAGGTGTTAACCCACTACACCACAGCGCCGGCCCTGGGAGTTTCCTTCTGATTGATGCTTTGGGGAGCCTGGTTTTGGCCTATTATAACAATAGAAATTGCAGGGGGTAGTTTGGTGCAGTGGTTAGGTGCTCCTTGGGAGCTTGTCTCCCATATCAGAGTGTCTGGTTCGAGTCCCGGCTGCTCTGCTTCAATCCAGCTGCCTCCTAATGTGCATCCTGGAAGGTAGCAGACGATGTGTCAAGTACTTGGGTTCCTGTCACCCCCATGGGAGACTTGGTTTGAGTACCAGGCTCCTGGCTTTGGTTTGACTCAACCCTGGCTTTTGCAGGCATTTGGAGAGTGAGCCAGCAGGTGGGAGATTGCTGTCTATATCCTCTACTCTGCATTTCAGATAACATTAGAATAAATAAGTAGATGGTTTGAAAATTGTTTTTAGTTGGTGATCTGAATTATCTCTTCTTTGCTTCCTATCAGATTCCTGGAAGGTGATGTGAAAGACCATTTTGCAGCAGCAGTCTTGACCTCTGGAACAATCGCCATCTGGGACCTGCTTCTAGGTCATTGCACTGCCCTTCTTCCACCTGCCTCTCACCAAAGTTGGTCTTTTGTTAAATGGTCTGGTACAGATTCTCATTTGCTGGCTGGACAAAAAGATGGAAATATATTTATATATCGTTACGTATGAGTCAGGATAAGATGAAAACACAGTTTCTGGATATATTTGACCTCCTCCTCTGTTTGTTTCCAGTTGTAACTATAAGAGAGAATATCTGAAGAACGCAAAATAATTACTTGTGTGCATCAGATTTGACCTGTATTCTGATGGTGGTGGCACTACTGATCTTAAATGTTCATTTAAACTTTGGGGAAAGGAGTTTTAGATTGATTTTTATAATTCTCCACATTTGCACTTTTGGATTGATTTTTGAAATTCTCTACATTTGCACATTTACTTTTAAAGGTGTACATAAAGTTTCAAGTGTCAATAAATATTTATTTTGACATATTCTGTTTAGTGTATTTTTTCCCATTCTATGCAGATCATTTTCAGAAAAAATAGTTATTTTTCAGATAGAATATTTAGTCAGTAATGTTTGTATACAAGAGTAAATTTCAGTTATCTTAGTATACTAATATACAATATAATTTTTTTTATTTGAAAGGCAGAGTTACAGAGAGAGATCTTCCAACAGCTGCATCACTCCTCAAATGGCTGCAATGGCTGGGGCTGAGCTAAGCCGAAGCCTGGAGTCTGGAACTCCATCCGGGTCCCCCATGTGGGTAGCAGGGGCCCAAGCACTTGGGCTGCTTTCCACTGCTTTCCCAAGGGCATTAGCAGGAAGATGGAATTGAAATGAACTCAGACTGGTGCTAATATGGGATGCTAGCATTGCAGGCAGCAGTTTAACCCACTACATCACAACTCAGGCCCCTACACAATATACTTTTTAATGCTATTTGTATTTTTTCACATACTTAGGAAAAGTAGCATGAATCCTATTAAAATATCCAATGTAGAGATGCCATTGTTCTTTTTTGTCCTCAAACGCATCTTTATACCGTCCTTTTTGGTTTAGTCATTTTTGAGTCAATCACACAGCTTTACTGAGTGTGTCATCTTCACCTTCATTTAAGTGATATTAGAGACTAGTTTTTAAAGGATTGATGCGCTAGTAGAGTTTCGTTGGAAATTTTGTCTCAAGCTACAAGTATTTATTTGCCTAACATTCTTAGGGTATATTTTCATATAGTTTTTACATTATAGTGGGTTTTGCTGGCATCATTATTACCCTTTGACCCATTTTCATAAAAGACTTCGCTTTCCTGTGCTCTAACATCACATGAGAGATACTGTGTGCTGCCACATCATAGGTAACATAGGGCTTCTCACAAGGATTTCACTTATTCAAGAATCCCAAAACACAAGTTAAGGTACTTCAGAAGTTTCGTGTGGAGTAGGCATTTGGTCTAGGGGTTAAGATGCTCACTGAGATACCCACATTCCATATTGCAGTGCCTGGCTGTGGCTCCTGATTCCAGTGTCCTGCCAGTGCAGACCCCGGAGCAGCAGGTCATGGCTGGAGTGTTGGGTCCCTGCCACCCATGAGGGAGACCTGGATTGAATTTCCTGCTCCAGCCACAATGCCAGCCCCAAGAGTTTTAAATTTAAAGGGTGTGTGCAAAGAAAGCTTAAAGTCTAGGCTGTTAGCACAACCTGGGAGGTTCAAAAAGAAGCTGCATAGAGGATGACAACTTAGCTGAGTCTTGCAGGAAAAGTAGATGGAGGCAGAAGCAGAGGATAGTCCAAGCAGAAAGGCTATGATGATGTGAATTAGAGACAACTCAGTATCACAAGTGTCTTGATGATGGTCCTGGGAGGGCAGTCAGGAAGCTAGGAAGGTAGCCCGGGGCTTATGAGGAATGCTAACAGGCTTGGACTGTATTCTGCTCTGGTGGAGATACAATGAAGGGCCAGAGCTCTGGGGTGGTCAGGTCTTCCTGTAGCTACAAAGTAAATAAAGGATTCCCATCGTGGGGTAGAACCCATGATAGAGGCCATAGAGCTTTTTTTTTTTTTTTTTTTATTTGAAAGGCAGAGTTACAGAGGCAGAGAGAGAGCTTCCATCTGATTCACTCCCCAAATGTCCACAATGGCTGGAGCTGTGTCAATGCAAAGCTGGGAGCCAGGAGCTTCCTGCCAGTCTCCCATGAGGGTTGCAGTGTCCCGAGCACTTGGGCTGTCTTCTACTGTTTTCCCAGGCCATAGCAGAGAGCCTTGAACCGGCACCCATATGGGATGCCGGCACTGCAGGTGGCGGCTTTACCCACTACAGCACAGAGCCAGCCCCACAGCCATATACACCTTTAACACAAGAACCCCTGCGCTCTCTCACTGTCCCCTTCCTAATTCTTGGTTGTACTTCTCACTGTACTTGGAGTGTGGGTGTTTTTGCTTGTTTTTTTTTTTGAGTTTTTTTTTTGTTTTTTTTTTTTTTTCAGTGCACAAACATTCTGAGAATAAACTGCCTTTCTGGATTGCTCACTGCTGTAGCCTCAACAACTAATATATGAGAGATACTCAGCCTTTTGGTGAATGCACAAAAATAGATAATTTTACAACAGTGGGTCATATTCTGTTTTAAAGACATTACATTTAATTAACGTGAAATGAAATAAAATTGAAGGCTTTATTGGATTATTTATCCAGGCAGTCTGCAGAATTTGGAGCAATTGTTCTGTGTTTTTCTGTTTCAATCAATTAGCATACTTCCCCCTTACTTTTTTAAAAAAATATTTATTTATTTATTTGAAAGTCAGAATTACACAGAGAGAAGGAGAGACAGAGAGAGGGGTCTTCCATCCGCTGGCTTGCTCCCCAGATGGCTGCAATAGCCGGAACTGCGCTAATTTGAAGCCAGGAGCTTCTTCCAGGTCTCCCAAGCAAGTGCAGGGGCCCAAGGACTTGGGCCATCTTCCACTGCTTTCCCAGGCCATAGCAGAGAGCTGGATCAGAAGTGGAGCAGCCAGGACTAGAACCGGTGCCCATATAGGATGGCAGCACTACAGATGATATCTTTACCCCCTTGGCCACAGCACCTGCCCTTACCTATTTTGTTAGCTGTATTTATACATTGTAAAAATTTTAAATGGATATATCATCTTTATCATAATTCCTACATTTGTTGCTGTTAACTATACAGTATGTATTTTTTTTTTTTTTGACAGGCAGAGTTAGAGAGAGAGAGAGACAGAGAGAAAGGTCTTCCTTCAGTTGGTTCACCCCCCAAATGGCCACTATGGCTGGCGCGCTGTGCCGATCCGAAGCCAGGAGCCAGGTGCTTCTCCTTGTCTCCCATGGGGTGCAGGGCCCAAGCACTTGGGCCATCCTCCACTGCACTCCCGGGCCACAGCAGAGAGCTGGCCTGGAAGAGGGGCAACCGGGACAGAATCTGGCGCCCTGACCGGGACTAGAACCCGGGGTGCCGGCGCTGCAGACAAAGGATTAGCCTAGTGAGCCGCGGTGCCGGCCATAGTGTGTATTTTTAAAATATTTATAAAGGCAGGATGACAGAGGGGAAGACAAAGATCTTCCATCTGCCGGTTCACTCCCCAGATGCCCACAATCTTTGGGGCTGGGCCAGGCGGAAGCAGGAGCCAGGAACTCCACTGTCGTCCATCGCCTGCTGCCTCCCAGGGTGCCGCATTAGCAGGAAGCTGGGTCAGAAACGGAGCTGGGGTACTGGGTCCCCCAAGCACCGTAACACCTGCTGCTGCGCAGTATGTTTAACTTGATACTTTCTTTTTCACATTCCTATTTCGGTTCTGACGTTTGGATATGCATTAGGTAAATTTTAACACCTACAGAAGAATCACGACACCAACACTCGTAAGTAACGTACTTCAGAAATTTCAAAGAAGAAATAAAAATTAATTTCTTATTGCCAGTGATGTCTTGCGGGCTCTCCTGGGCGGCAGGGTCCCGCGGGCGCAGTGCCGCCAGGGGCCGCCAGGGGCCGCCACCGCCGGCAGCGCCCGACGGCGCCGCTCCGTGCGTCGCCCGCGCGCAGCGGGAGAGGAAACCTGGGCCGGAGGGCGCGGCGCGGGGCATCCTGGGTCGGCGTAGCCATGGCGGCTCGTGTCCTTTCCTCCTGTGTCCGCCGCCTGTCCGCGGCCTTCTCCCCGCTGCCCCGCGTCCCCGCGCTGGCCTCGGTCCGGCCTCTCGGCACCGTCTTGTGTTCCGCAGGGACCCGGACGAGACTCGGGGCTCTGCAGCCGGCCTCGGTGCTCGTGCAGGTGACTCGCGGTGACTTTGATGGGGCTTAGCAGGGGTCAGGGATCGGGGGGCAGGGACCGGGCCGCGCCGGTGCGGGCAGGGGTGAGGCGGGGGACGCCGGGGTTGCTCCGCAGACCCGTCCTGGGGGGCCGGGTGACCCCTGACCACGGGCGAGAGGAGGAGCTTCGCCTAGTGTTGGGGCAGGACTGGTCTTCTAACCCGCTGAGCGCCAGTCCGAGCCGCTATGCCCGGGTGCCAGCCTCTCCCTCGCGGAGCGCGGCCGAGGTGCGTGTGCAGGTGACGTGGGCGGAGCTCCTGGTGCGGTGCCGGCTCGGCCTCCGACACGCCGGCCGCCTCTGCTTTCCCGGGGAATACAGGGTGCAAAGGGGAGGCCTCCCCGGTCTCCAGACGCCTCCAGAGCGGTTCCCTCCCAGAGTTCCTGCCTTCATTTCTCGCGGCGGCACCCTTCACCCATTCCTGGAAGACCGGGAACCAGGTGGCACGTAGCCTGTTTAACCTTGGGCGAGTGTGCAGCTCCGCGGTTGTCAGCCCTAGCTGCACATTCAGGTCGCCTGGGGAACTTAACGCGGATTGCTTCCTGGAGCTTGCCGGCTATGCTGTGGTTCGCAGGGTCACCTTCAAGTTGAGGGTTCAAAGGGCAGTGCGTGGGTGGGGGCTGCTGAGTGGTCCCTGAGAAGGATTTCAAGGTAAGGCTAAAGTGGCGAGTTCTCAGGCACCAACTCTCAGACTTGGTTGTGCCTGCCTGTCACGTGGGTTACAACGCAGATTTGAATTCAGCAGGGCTGAGAAGGGGCCCGGGAGTTCTCCTTGGATGGGCTCCCCGGGGTCCTGCCGGTGGTGGCCTGGGCCCACACTTTGCATCACACGGTGCCTGAAGACGTCCCCATGTCTCTGCCTGCTTGACCTAGGCGGCAGCAGGCCCGTTGTGTCTGTTTGCAGAGTGGTTCAGAGTTCATTCAGAGATGGGGGCCAGGACTTGGGCTGGCTGTGGAGGGGTGCAGAAGACAGAGGTGAGCGCTTGTCTTCATTGGACACCTGCAGCCTTTATTGTGAACTGGCCAGCCCTGCCCTGTGCTGCTCTTCCTTCCCTACGCTGTTGCAAAGCTGCTCTCCCTTGGTGTGTCTCCTCTCTGCTGCTACCTGGGGGGCACTTTTTCTAACCTTTTTTTTTTTTTTAAGATTTATTTATTTATTTGAGACGCAGAGT